CTTTGTAAAGCAGAATTTTTTAAATATTTCAAAATGGCTCAATGACATTTAAAGTGTTTGTTTATTTACCCTAAAGGGCTTATTTAATTTAATCAAAAGAAATGGGCATTATTTCACTAGCTATCACTCTATCAGACACTGAATATCAACTTGGCCCAGAGCTAATTTGCATAATCAAAGGTAAAAATAAACACTACACCATGAGATGCGTCACACCAGGATAAATATTATACATGCAAATAGATAGAAGGAACATGTTGTGTGTAACATATCATTGAAGTCTAAAGGGATAGAATGCTCATCATATATATGAGAAATGAGATGAGCTAGAGAATGTGAAGTAATACTTTGAAACCATTCAGCCAATATATATTTTCTAAAACAGAAAGTATGACTTGACGAGTATCTCAATTTGAAGATAATGCAAATATTAAACAGTCCTGAAAAATAGAATGACTTTTCTTTTAAATACACTCAAACTTCTAGAACTGGTTTGACTTTTTATCTACTTCAGCAATAATTGGCTTGTCTTTAAATAGTCACTATGTTTAAGTTTGTGGTACAAGGTGTTCAACAGTTTAACTTGAGCATTCAGTTTTCTATGCTCGAATATATAAATCAAACTATCAAAATAGGTGGATCATAAGTCGATTATGTCTGAGCGTATATATTTAGTACAATAAAAAGTACAAATATTTTAGTGAAACAAGGAACTACCTATTTTAATAGCCACGTAAATTAGGGCTGCACAATATATCGTTTCAGCATTGATATCACAATGTATACATCCGCAATAGTCACATCGCAAAAATATGTAATGTAATCTTTATACTTGCATCCAAAACCATAAAGCACGCACTGTTTATTCAACGTTTATCTTTGCTTTATTGCATATGCTTGCAGTTTGTTTATTACATTTTACGCATGATTGACTGCCCTGCAGAATCATCCCAATCACTTAAAATTAACACTTTGGGGACCAATTTGTCATTATTAATTATTAGCAAGCATGTTATTAAAATATTGGCTGCTTATTAGGACTTATAAATTGCATGATCGGCATAATCTCATTCTACATCCCTAACGCAATAGCTAAATTACCTTAATATCTATTTAGGAGCAAATTAGGAGATTATTGAAACCAAAGTCATAGGTAATGGGTTGCCAGTAGCGAGAATTGAACCTTAAAATAAATTGAGACTATAAATCTTTTGCAAATAGTGCTATTTAACCATTTGGTGAAGTCATTTAGGTATAGTAGATCGCAATACATATTGTAGATAAATAAAATATTTGAAAAATCCCGTTTTTTCAATATCGTGCACCCCTAATGTAAATAGTGCCAGAGAACTAATTTTTTTAAAATCTGATAAGACACTGATATGACTATTTTTAGATGCAAGCATTTGTTCTTATCTTACAACTCTTCTTGGTAGATCAGCATGTGTGAAGAGCAGTGTCATTGAACTTAAGTGCCAAAATAACAGAGCAATTAATACGATTCACAATATATACTGTACTTCTGCAAAGTAAAAAAAAAAAAGCAGCAAGCCTTGCTAAATCTCACCCACTGGTTTGTAAACTTCTCACTTTCCTTATTAAGCTAGCAGTTTCCTGCAGCAAAACTTTGTGACTAACCAGTAAAGCAAAGAGCAAAATAGCAAACTTATAGTGTTAAACGATGCAAAGAGGCAGCGTAAAATCAGATTCAATAAAACTGCACTATTTATTTTACAATGGAGTCATTCAGTGTCAAATCAAGGAAATTTCAGGAAAATTAATTAATTCTCAACACAGGGAAACATTAAGAGCACAGAGTAATGGATATATATTGGGAAAACTCTCATCATGACCCTAATTCTCTAAATACTTGACTGCTTCGTAAAATACATCTATAATGTGCAAATGTCTTTTTTTTTTGTCTTTCCTCATAAAATATTTTAAAATAACAACTGAGGAGATGTGGTTAATGTATTATTTATATGTATATTGTAACTCCCAACATAAATATTTAAACTTTGTCTTAAACTATGTCCAAAAATATTCTTGGATATAAAGTTCAGACAGTTTTAATTCAATCTACCCCGGTGGTTAACTCAGCCTTTTTTGAAACATGATAGCTTGTTTCCATCTGGCCTTGGAGATAAAACCATATTGCACTAAAAAAATCCCAACTACTAGTTAGTCAAAGCAGTTAACAAGGTAGTCAAGCTGGTTTCTGAAACATGGTCAACTAGCTAATGCTTAGCTAACGTTACAAACTAGCTGCCATGTTTCAAAACACACCAGCTTGCTAACAGGGAAGTCTGTATTATAGTCATGTTTACACGGAGTATTTCCGCTCAAATTGCTGCTTAAATCCAGCAAATAACGCAATAATAAAGCCATCAAATCTTATACAAGCTGGAAGGATTTAGCAATGGATACAAATAAACCTCCACAACAGTCCAAACACATGTGACCACTTCCACTTCTCAACCCAGCTGCTGTTGATGGTTTAAATAGCGTCACAGCGGCCTTATCTGACTTTTCCTTTAATACATTGATATTTTTAAACGTTTCTAAATGAGTGATAGTGTTATGGCGCAGTAGGCCCGCTCATAAACGCACCGATCTCTGCAGCTCTCCTAGCCAGACCGAGGCGCGCTCCTTGCCGGCAGGGTCCGGGTCGTGATACAGCGCCTGCACGGCCTGGTAAACCAGCGGCAGGGTGGGTTTCCCGCCTTCCATGGTGCTCTTCTGCTTCTAGAGGGTGTAGATATGGGGTAAATGACACTGCTTGCGCTTCTCGGGAGGTTACTGACGCGCAGGTTGACTATTTATTCGGCCCTCGCGTTCTCCGATCTGGCCGCCATCTCAAGCAAGACACAGGGCGTTCCTGTCAAACAAGTCCGTGTGGAAACTACGGCACGGGAACTATAATGAGTCCGGACCACAGCGGTTTTATGTTAATAGCGCGACATTCGGACAACTCGCAGAAATATGTCAACATTTAAAAAATAACTTTCTAAGAGTTAAATGTGTTTTGCGGTTTGTGAGTTCAGTGTAATGCGAGGTATATATTTTTGGGAATAATTTCGTTGGAGACACACCCACTGAGGGTCATTCCCATGAAACGGTGACGGAGCCATTTGTGTTTCGTTTGGGAATCGTAAAGGAATCGATTCTTGTCCGACACATCTTTACGATTCAGAAGCATTCGTTTCAAGGAAGAAATACTTTCTGAACTTACTGTATTAACTAGCAATCTGTTGTTAAATTAAGTATTCAATTCTAATAAATCAAAAGAGAAATTTATTGTACAAATACTGTTACCCAACATGAATAAAATGTAGATAATTAGAGATAATTAGCCACTATATATACTTTTATAAACACACACAAAACACAAGAGGTGTTTTACTTATATCAATTTATTTATTCGATAAAATACCACTGATTTTTTACAACATACATATAATATTGACACTTTAAATTAACATTAATGTGTTGCTTATATACTTACTTACTGATTATTGCTGGTTAATTTATAACATATGACAGCGACAGTTCTAAATCCAGTCTTTCTCAGAAATTACAAAAAAAAAAAAAATCAGTTCAAGAATTGAGTCAATAACCCCCCAGACTGAAGCATTTTGATTCACTCAAAGAACTGGTTCAGAAGAGTCATTCTTATGAGAATCGAACTACACTACTTGCTTCACCAAAAAAGAACCGCCACTTATAAGTAATTCATGTATGTCGGTAAGCGAGGTTCCTTTTATTGTTGTTTGTATTATATAGTAATTAGAATATTATCGATTAAATTTATTATACGACACGGTCTATATAACTTACACCTACAAGAATCAGTGACTGGATTTTTCTGAATTCACTTTTGATGGACAGTTGTGTGTGTGTTTATTAATACACACACACACACACACACACACACACACACACATATGCAAATATTGCCAAATGTTTTATATTATTTCTTTCTATTAGAAAACTAGTTTTGGATTTTCGAAATATACATTTTTTCACAAATTACAGAGTTGACAAGTTTATGAATATGCACAACAAATTCATATATCAAAGCAAAAATATGAACAAAAATCTCTTGCAAAATGTCTGCAAGAGAAATGTTTGTGGTGTAGCTGTCAAATACAATGTTTTACATCTATTATTTGCTATTAAAAACTCTGACATTATTTATTCATCATTCATTCTGCTTTTCCAGGGCCGGTTCGCAGGGGCAGTAGGGTTGTTGCTATAGATCAGATATGGTTGTGGCCAGAAGTTAATGAAAATTACTCATATTATTTCTTAAATTTCTCATTTATTGTATTTTATTAACATCTACCCCCAACCCTAAACCCAACCACCACAGTGCTGTAAAAATATTCATTATTCTTATACAGTGTCATAAAAAATGCTGCAATATTGATGTGCATATCTCACTTCCGGCTGGCTGCATATCCGATCTAGACCTTACTGGGCAGGCAGTCTCAGGAGAGAACCCAGACACCTCCTCCAGGGGGATCCCAAGGCGTTTCTAGTCCAGCTGAGAGACATAGTCCCTCCAGCATGTCCTGGGTCTTCCCCGAGCCCTCCTCCCGGTGGGACATGCCTGGAACACCTCCCAAGGTGTCCAGGAGGCATCCGAAACAGATGCCCAAGACACCTCAATGTGGAGGAGAAGCGGCTCTACTCCGAGCTCTGACATTATACATGTGAAAAACAATCACCTGTTCATGTTGGTTTCCAGCATGGTATTTCCTCAGCCTCTTTACTTCTGTTTCATTTCATTATGAGAAATGATCCCACTGGCATGACAGATTTAAATAAGAAAAGATCATCCAAGCAGAAGAATCCCAAATGGTTTCAGTTTTCAACACCAGAAATCTTCCATCTCACTTTTATTTGCACACAATCAAACATTTACATTGCATTCAATCATCATTTATTAATATAAAGCAGATAAAGATGCATTACACTACTGTTATTTCCAGGATGTCCATCACCATTCTGTAACCCAGGTCGTATCATACCCATGCATCATGGACACTTACAGCTTGGTTACAATACAACCCCGGGTCACTGGATGGCCCTTGACGTTCATGAAACAGCTCATTCAACATTAAAAACAAACATAAGTGCATTCATATTTCAAACTGTACATGATATAAGAAGTTGCATGTATGAAGAAGCATGAATAATACATACAAACTGAATATAGAGTGATATTAAATAAAGCCAGACATTAAAATATGAACAGAATGTATAAGAGAGTCCAATTTAGAGACCTGCAAATAAATTCAGTAAACAAAAAAAGCAATATTGGTTAAATCTATACAAAAAAAAACACTGAACAAAACTGAAAGAAGCATAATAAGGTTATGATAAATTGCTATACATTTCTGTATGTTCTAATAAGTCATGCACAAAATTCAGAATTTAAAGCTCTCCCAGTCTAAAAGGCAATACTCACCTGCCAAAACCAGAGAACAGAAATGGCGAGTGGAGAGAGAGAGAAGGGAAGAGTCTCTAAGGAGAAATGAGGAAACTCAAGTGAGGTGTATAAATGAGGCCGGATGTATAGGATTTACAGTTTAGCACTCTTTATCTCTCCCCAGATTATCAAAATTGACCCACAATCTAAGTCTCGGCTAACAAGATAAACTGCCAGTTTGGACGTAATCCTTTTGTGACATCAATGCGGTTTGTAGGGATTTTTAGGGATTGATTTAGGTAAATCTTGTTTCCAGATTACGGCTCATCCTTATGCTTGAAGAACTTAAGAGTTTGGTTTGCCTTTCGCCTGCTTATGCTGTTGTGGACTTAACAAGCTTGTTTGGCCCAAAAAAACTAGGGCAATATTGCTACCTGACATACTATAGTAGCCACATAATCTATCACGATGCAGTGTCTTTTTAGTCATCTTTACTTGCAGGGTTTGGTTCTGCACTTACCAAAACACTCAAGCTAAGTGTCCCAGGAGCATTACCCAGTTGTACAGAAGGCTACTGATCATTTTATCATCGATATAGCTAATCAGAGCACAAAACAGCCATGAAATAAACTAAGCTAGCAATAATGATTCGTTTATAAGCATTGATTGACTACACCTAAAATGGCCGTCCATTAGATTTGACCAGTGGTGTCCAAACTCATTCCAGGAGGGCCGGTTCCCTGCATAGTATAGCTGGTTCAAGTGTGTTTAATTGGGGTTGGAACTAAAATATGCAGGACACCGGCCCTTCAAGACCAAGTTTGGGCACCCCTGGGTTATACTAATATACAGTATGTGTATGAAATAACATTCAAAATCTCCCCCTGATATTAAATGTATATTAATGATAAATGTGACTCAGTCAAGTGTTTAAATGAGCATACTAGTACATTTAGCAGTATTTTGGTTACATCAATTAAGATTCCCCTATCGGTGTGCGGATCAAATGGAGGGAAAACCTCAACTGAAAGTCAATATCTCCTTAAAGACCCAAGGACTAAATTAACCTAGAGAGGAGACCGTGTTTTCTCTGTAAACTCGGTCTTGGAGGGTACTATCACTTAACTAGTTTACTATCATTATCAAACCAAACTAATAGATTAGATTAATAGATTGGTGTTGATTGATATTAATCAATGTTGATTTTAAAGATGTAAAAAATGTCATATTTTGAGAACATGGATGAGATTGTGTATATGAGGTCATGTAGATGTTGAATGTACTGGGTAATGAGTATAAAATCAACTCAAACCAAAGGTAATGAAATATGATTGATTTAATTCTTGCATAACTGTTATTAAACTATAGTATCAGGTAAACTAGTACTCTCCAAGACCCAGTTTGGGCACCCCTGGGTTAGACTAATATACAGTATGTTTATGACAGTATTCAGCATTTGCCTCTGATATTAAATGTACATTAATGATAACTGTGACTCAGTCAAGTTTTCAAATGAGCATACTAGTACATTTACCAGTATTTTGGCTACATCTCTTTAGTTTTCACTAGGTAAATCGATTAAAATGCCACTATCGGCTGCAGATCATTTGGTGGGAAAACATAAACTGAGAGTCAAAATCTCCTTGAAGTCCCAAGGACTAATTTAACCCAGAGAGGAGACCATGCTTTCTCCTTAGTAAGACTTTGGAATAGCTTATGTTTTCATTTTTGAAATATAAACTATAAATGTTTTATGTACAGTTAAAAACCTGCTTTGGCATTTTTTTAAATGATGTACACTGTAAAACCCAAACAGTTATGGTAACTTCAACTATTTAAGGAAACTGTTGCAACAAACCATTTTGAGTTTAAAAACTAACCCTAATGAGTACTGGGAACTTAATCCATTTGTGTAAATAAAGCAATTTGAGCACAGTAAAACCCGATAAATGAGGAGAACTCAAACCAACTGAGTACTGTAAAACCCAATAAGGTAAGGCAACTCAAACCGTTTGAGGAAATCGATTGCTACAAACAATTTGAGTTAAAAACTAATATATAGTAGTACTGTGAACTTACTCCATTTAAGTAATGAGATATTTAATTACTCATTATCTTCAACACTGGGTTCAAAACTCTTTTAAAATGAGTAGAATTAACTTTCAGTAAATTTTGAGTTAACTCATTTCATTTGATAAAGTGGACTGTTGGGTTGTACAGTGTATTTAATGATGCGCTCACATCAGCCAACATATGTGTTTTTGTATTAGCGCTATAGAAATAGTTTTGATTGACAGATTAATAGTTTATCATTCATTACAATTGTGAAAATGCATGTCAAATGTGAACCAGTATGTGGATTAGTTGAGTTAAGAACAGTCTGCTTTATACAGTATAGGTATACTGCTTCAGAGCAGCTTCACTATCATACTTTGTTGTTGTTTAAACCTTAAACACTAACCCGGGTTTTTGAGATCCTGGATAACATTTACCACCCTTCCCCTCATTGATAACATAGCAAACATTTTAGTATGTCTCAATTAATTCAATGTAACAACAATACATTTTACTGTAAAAAGTGTATAGTGTCCCAATGACCTGAGCTACTGTATACGCAAGAATGTTTTTCCCATGTTATTCGGTCTATCATAAGCATAATACTATATATTAACATCGGCAAAGCTTGAAATGGCTTGAAAGTGGCTTACTGCAAAGAAATTAGTCTGCATTGTCAGTCACTTGAGGTGGATTAAGTGAATAAACTGTCAGCCAAATCCAATGTTGATTTTAAAGATGTCAAAAATGCCACATTTTGAGAATATGGATGAGATTGTAAATATGAGCTACTGTAAATGTGAAATGTACTGGTTGATGGGTGTACGGTGATGGTAAAAATCATCAACACAAAGTCCAGGTAACAAAATAAATATGATTAAATTTGTGCACGGTTGTTATTAAACTAGTATCAAGTAATTAAATTAGTGAATATGCAATGATTACTGGCAAAACCATCATGCATTAGAAGCTTAATAGTTGTTCAAGTTGGGGATGGTTCACCCAAAAATGAAAATGACCTCATCATTTACACTCCCTCATGTGGTTTTAAACCTTTATGAGTTTCTCTCTTCGGTCACACTTTAATTTGATGGTCTGTTTGTTGAATTTAAGTTACGTTGCATCAATATGCCAACTAATTCTCATTAGATTACAAGTGAACTGTTAGGGTGGGTGTTTGTGTAAGTTGACATGTACTTGTTAAGTCTCTTATAGTCAGTTAAATGTCTGTTGAATGAGCATATCCACTGATATTGTGCAGAAAGTCCTCTAATATTCAAATGGACCATCAAAATAAACTGTCACCCTTTCTTCTGAAGTTGCTGTCACCCACTGGACCCCATAGTAGGAAAAGAAAATTACAATGGACGTCAATGAGTCAACGATCAACCAGCATTCTTTGAGAGATCTTCTCCTGTGTTCAACAGGAACTCAAGAAACTCGTGAGGGGTACAAAAACGATGACAATATCCCAATAATATACTTACTATCTTGATATTATATTGACATATTTACTGAAAGTTGAAATTTTATGCTCCAATGCAAGCTAAAACATAACATTTACCATGCGACACGTGTGGCCTAATCAAGCGCTTATAGAATCCAGAGGAGTGTTGAGGATAATTCACATGGACAGGGCGGATTATCCTGGCAACATGTCCGGAAGATAACCCGGAGGATGATCTTCCTTTTCATCCCCGCCTTTTCACACCAGGCAAGACTTTGGGGATTTTATAAAAGGCCACCTCTCCGCATCGGTTCAGTCAGGCTCCTTGTTGACTCCACCAGGACACACAGAAGAAGGCCTCCAACGGCACAACCATGGACGCGTGGGCCGTTCAATTCGGAAATGCTTCCAAAGTCAGCCCCTTCGAGGGCGAACAATACCACATTGCCCCCAAATGGGCGTTCTACCTGCAGGCAGCTTTCATGGGCTTTGTATTTATCGTGGGCACACCTATGAACGGAATCGTCCTCTTCGTCACGATGAAGTACAAGAAACTCAGGCAGCCTCTCAACTACATCTTGGTAAACATCTCCCTAGCAGGCTTCATTTTCGACACGTTCTCTGTAAGTCAAGTATTCGTCTGCGCTGCTAGAGGTTATTACTTCCTTGGGTATACGTTGTGTGCGATGGAAGCGGCAATGGGATCGATTGCAGGTAAGAGTCACATTCAGTCTTGCAATGTCAGGTTGAGTTTAGCTTTAGACTTGATTAGCTAGTGCAGTTTAATTAGGGTTGGAACAGGTCTAGGAATAATTGAACTTCACATTCAGATAAGTGTGCTGATAGACTTATTCTTCTTCCAGGTCTTGTGACGGGATGGTCCTTGGCTGTTCTGGCTTTCGAGAGATATGTGGTCATCTGCAAACCCTTCGGAAGCTTCAAATTCGGACAAGGCCAGGCTGTTGGAGCTGTGGTGTTCACCTGGATCATTGGTACCGCCTGTGCTACTCCTCCCTTCTTTGGATGGAGCAGGTGAAGGAAGTTTTCCTGGAGATTTTTTTTGGGGGGGGGATTGCTCACTAATAGTGATAAAGATTGATTTGAATTAATATTTACTTTACAGATACATTCCCGAGGGTCTTGGCACTGCCTGCGGACCTGACTGGTACACAAAAAGCGAGGAGTACAACTCAGAGAGCTACACTTACTTCCTTCTCGTCACCTGCTTCATGATGCCAATGACCATCATCATTTTCTCCTACTCACAGCTCTTGGGAGCCCTGCGCGCCGTGAGTGCCTTTGCTTTTAGATCCTTGTGGAGAAATAGTGCAGATATTTGTTACATTCAGGCCATAATCGTGGTATTTTAAACTTTAAAAACAGCAACAGCACCCAAAATGCTACTATTTTAGTTTGTTTGTTTTTTGCAAATGCTTAGTTATAATAGTTAAATCCACCTCTATACTCTGCTGTTTTAAAATATCATGATATAGTTTCTTTCTTTCGTCAAACCTTGCTTAAGGTCTGTCCCCCTTTTTTTTTTGGCAAATTTATTTCCAGTTTACTTTTCCAATTGGACACATATTATACTTTTTTTATATAGATAATCACCTTCAAAAAAACAATTATGAAATTAAAAACAAAGCGTAACTAGATAATTCTTTTTTTTAAACATTTAATTTCTATGATATTGCATTGGTTTCATTTTGAAGAAATGTTCCATAATTAAGTCAATTTAATTTAATGCACTCAAAGTAGTCGTTTTAGATCTGTGCGTCCATACATATCATGTCATATTAAAGATCTTCCACCCTTTTTCCTAATTTTTTTTCCTCCTTTAAAATAAAAACAATTCTTCTTTTTACCCTTAGGTTGCAGCCCAGCAGGCCGAGTCAGAGTCCACCCAGAAGGCAGAGAGAGAAGTGTCCAGGATGGTTGTTGTAATGGTTGGCTCTTTCGTGCTTTGCTATGCCCCTTATGCCGTCACCGCCATGTATTTTGCCAATTCCGATGAGCCAAACAAGGATTACCGCCTGGTCGCCATCCCTGCTTTCTTCTCAAAGAGCTCCTGCGTGTATAATCCCCTAATCTACGCCTTCATGAACAAACAGGTGAGATGAACAGCACAAAACATACTCAATAAAAAATGTGCATGCATATACCCAAACACTAACACACCTCTCTTTATGATTCCAGTTCAACGCCTGCATCATGGAGACTGTATTTGGCAAGAAGATTGATGAGTCCTCAGAGGTTTCCAGCAAGACCGAAACCTCATCTGTGTCTGCATAAATACTCCCGCAGCACATTTACAATCCGTCTGGACCAGCTTTGCGGTTATCCTCCCCCTGATTGTTCAAATCCCGTAACTTTACACAATGTCGAGGGCCAAGGGAGCCCCTTTGGATGGCCAAACTGGGGGATGATATCCGACCATCCTTTCTGTGCAGAACTGGTACACCTATGTCTATTTTATATTTTGTAAAGAAAAACATTGCCATTTTATGCTAAAACGATGCATTACGCATTGAGGACAAAGTAGAATATTTAATTTTTAACTTGCAAGTAAAAAATTACCAAAAAAAAAAAAGGGATAATAATATGAGACACCCTCTCATGTGAATGGACTTGGGCAATCTGAAAAAGGAAATTCCTGACTTTATTATAAATATTCTATGGACTGTCATATAAGGCGTTGTGCAATAGGCATCAAACCTAAAAGAACGTACTTTAGGCCAGCTTTCTGGTTGGCTTATCCAATATACATAATTAGGATCGTCAGGAATTATCCAAGTCCATCCGCTTTTGCAGCTCAGGAATCGTTCACTGTCTGCTCCTGTCCAATCACTGGCTTTGGATCTCTGTTATCTGTATCAATATTACCTCTGTACATGTTCTGTTGTAATTAGACATGCAGTGTGCATGCATTTGTACATGTGCCCTGTTTTTAGAGTTAATAAAGATTTATATTGTTTGATGCAGTTTTTCCCTCTACTTGTTGGTTTCTGTTAATTAACAGAGATGGCTTCATAAACTAGAAGACAATTGACATTGGTTTGTATTTAATTGCACATAATGATTTTCCCAAGTACGATGCGATCAAGAATTAACATCTATGTTGATCCTGGAACATCATTTGGTTCGAAAATGAAATCCATACCTATTCCCTACCCCTAAACCCAACCATAACTGTAAAGTTTTCCCAAAATCAAAGGGGAATGATAGTTGGATAAAAATCATGTAGAAGTGCATAAACCCAACCGTAAGCCTAAACTTAACACATCTCTTAATTCTGATTGGCTGATTGTAATGTTGTTCCAGGATCAACATAGATGTTAATCCAGGAACATGTCCTACTTGATGAAATCAGGTTGGCGCATTATATTATGATATAAGGATTATGTTAGTAACTTAACAGTTGGGTGATAAAGGCTACAAATAAGTATCTGCAGCAAGGGAAATTATCTAAAGAGATTCATTTATTCATTTTCTAGTCCCTCTATTAATCTGGCGTCGCCACAGTGGAATGAACCGCCAACTTATCCAGCATAAGTTTTATGCAGCGGATTCCCTTCCAGCTTGAACCCATCACTGGGAAACATCCCTACATTCTCATGCACACACATACACTACGGTCAATTTAGCTTACTCAATTCACCTGTCTTTGGAGAAACCCGAAGCACCCGAGGGAACCCACACAAACACGGGGAAAACATGCAAACTACACACAGAAATGCCTACTCGCCCAGCTGGGGCTCAAACCAGCAACTTTCTTGCTGTGAGGCGACAGTGCTAACCGATGAGCCACCTTGTTACATACACAGTTTTTTTAAAATTCCAAAATAATTAAATATGTTATGTTTAAAGTAATTGATCGTTTTAAAAATGTATAATTATATATTAAAATATAACATTAAAATGTTTTCATAAAAAAAAATATGAATCAATTACAAACTTACAAATAAGTAAAACGTATATATATATATATATATATATATATATATATATATATGCACACATACATATACAGTAAAGCCTGAAATCATTCATAACCCAGGCAAATTCTGACTTAATGTTAGATTTTTTAACTAGAAATAGCACAGGCTTCTCCCAAAAGGTAATAAGGCAATTTTCTAGAGGCATGATTTTGGGATTTATTTACATTTTAACAAAAAAGTCTATGTAGTTTTCTAGAATTTTTTCCCCCTTAATAATAAAAACCTTCATGTAAAAACTGCTTGCGTTTACATGATGTGTTTACTTATGACTATCACGTGTTATCTTAGTCTAATATTTACATTTGTTTAATGATCTGTAACAAACATGCAAAAAATAAGTAAAGGGGCAAACATTTTTTCAAACCACTTTATATGTAGAATTAATTTCAGACAATATTACAATATTGCACAAAATGACAAGAAAAAAAAATCTTATTTAGCTCATATTTTGGTTTTATTGACAATTTGTGTTCGAGATACAATCTGCAGGTGGTGAAACAGCACCATTCGCAACAAGTGACCTGAAACCTTTAGGTGCCAAACATTATATACTGAAAAAAATAAAGATAAAAGAAAAATGAATAGACAATGGGGGAGATTGATGTGTTTGCAGCATATTAAACATGTTACAAACATCATGTAATTGGTAATGCATTTCAAATAATAAAGTTGAAGGCAACAAATTGTTCAGTAACGTGTTCTGATGGACCCAACAAACCCAAAAGATTTGAATTATACACATATAATACAAGCTAAGATCTAAATCTAACAGGAAAATCAATGAAAGGCACAATGATTAAAGTTCATGGACATGTATTGTTCTTCTAAATAAATAAAAAAAGACAACAGTATTGCCTGGAGAGAAAAATGAAGAGTCATCACTCAAAAACAGATGTTTCTGCTTTGAAATGTGAGATAACAAATACATATTCACATTTTTATGTGTGAATATATATTTAATATGTTATACATATTTGTATAAACCCTCAAAAATCAACATGAGAGCTTTCTGTACTTACAATATTCTTACGACAGAACTGTGAACAGCAGGGGGAGCCGATTATAGATCTGTAGCAATGTGTATAAAACTGCACTGAATCCATCAACCGCTTCTCAATAAAAAACAGACATATACAGTTACTGAAATGATGATAATAATGCTGTACATGGACTTCAAATCAAACAAAAGTTACACACTTTACAGTACAAAAAAAGCTATGAAATTTGTGCAAAAAGGAAAATCAAGTGAACAAAATTCTGAGGAATTAGTGTTGTATTATGATGAGGCAATATAAAATTATATTCTTTTACCAAAACAAGTTAAAAAGTAATTATCTATTATACTAAAAAAGAAATAATTAAAACTCATCATGTCGAACTAATGCCTCCCCGAAGTCAGTCGCTTGGCTTCCCACAAACAAATCATACTTGTTGAGTATTTCTTCTTTGGTCAGCTTTCCATCCTGAAACACAGTTTGAGTGACTTGGTTAAAATGAGGACAAACAACAAAAGCTCTAGGGATATTATGGATAGGATATTAGGGATATTGGAAAAAAACTGACATTGCAATATTTTGCATTTCTGCGATATATATTGCGATATGAATATAATTTCACAATATGACTCAAGTTACTGCTTGGATGTAATGTAATGTATTTTTTATTTAACGCCATGTCAGCAACCGAGGCTATTTTCATGGCAGGAACATTTCAATAATCAATATACAATTAAAAACAACATACAAGTGAATACATTAATTAAAAAAAGTTTTTTAGTGTTAATACGTGATAAAAGTTCTTTGTTAAAAATGTCAAAACTTTGTTAAAATGTCCTTAAGAGTGTTGATTTCATAAAATAACTTTATGGAACCATTAAAAGCAGGACAGTCCAGTAGAATGTGATTTACAGTAAGGAGAACTGTCCAGTACAAACATTAAGTGGGGTCTTCATCTTTAAGCAAAAAAACATGAGTTAGTTTTGTATGTCCAATATGACATTAGTAACTGTTTTGAAAGAATTCATAATTTTACATTGGATGGGATGGGATGATTGTGGAGGGCATCTAAAAATATAACAAATTGAAATAAAAACAAAACAAAATAAACAGCCCTTTATGGTCTTTGTTGGAATCTAAAAATGCCGAGGTACAGAAATTGAGAAATCAAATTAAAAATAGCACTTCATAGTCTTCATTTTTATAAATAAAACAATAAGTAAACACAATTAATCTGTGTTAAAGCGGCAATTTTTTTATTTTATCGTGCCTCAAATGGTTTAAATTTGCTTTATGTCTTACAGTCGCAAGCCTTAAAAACACATCCAAGTAAAAATCGTTCACACTATTAGATCATGTTTGAAATTCACAATGGCTCATCAAATTATGTGTACTGAACTATGGGTAATTATAATCCCAACTTGACATTGCAGGTCCTGTGATGTGACTATTGCAGATGCCTACATTATGATACTGATGCTGAAGCGATATATCAAAATGTCCTTTTCAATATCAAAACTTTTTTTATATTGTTTTGATAAGAAGTTTTAATATTGAGAAGGAAATTTTGATATATCGCTTCAGCATCAATATCACAATGTGGGCATCTGTCCTTAGTTAGATTATTTTTTAACCAATGTGGTCCTTACTTTAATTATTGTAGCCCCTCTCTGTTAAAAGCAAAAATAAACTTAAAAGATTAGTAAATGTAGAGAGTAAAATAATTGGTGAGAGACAAACGCCTCTTATTAATTTATTTGAGGCAGCAAAAAAAAAAAACTCCACTATTGTGGAAGACTCTTCCCATCCGTTACATGGTTCCCTAAACCCTTTAACTGCCTGCTCTACCAAATGGTTGAGCATATTTTGACTGTTTTAAATAATGAGTGTTACAGTCATTTTAAGAATGACTATTTTAATTAATGGTTTACACTTCACAGCATTGTTAAACAAACATAATCATGTTGCACTACTACACTTGTTTTTGGTTTTATTGTAAAACAACAACAAGGGAACATGTTAAATGAGAATCTGAAATATTTCATGGGATTCTTTAAAAAATAAAGATGATTTAGTGTTCAAAGGTTTCATTTTGATTATTTTTTACAAATTAATTTTTCTTTTACTTAATATTTTCTGATTTTCGTAGTATATGTGTTAATTCCGGTACTTTTAACATAAACCGACATATCAACCATTTTGTAGAGGTTGATATTTTAGAAATTAGGGGATGTTTTGTAAAAAAAATGCATTGAATGTGTTAACTAGCAACATTAGGAGTTAAGAAATGCAATCCAAAATCTATTTTTTTGGGGGGTCTGAGAGACGGTATAAAGTTCCTTTAGTAAAAAAGGCTAAGTACAAGACGGCATTTATTCCCACTGCCATTGTTCTTCTTGGAATAGGATTTTAAAATAAATGTGCAAGTATATTTATGTTTTGCTGTTTGCGTGAGCCTCTGTCTAAACACAACTTTCTAACCCCTGTGGAATAGACACTAAAGTTTATTGAATTAAATATATTGTGCAGCCCTACTTTAAATACTGCTCACCTTGTTTGTGTCAGACTCATACACCAGATGCTTCGCTTCGGCTTCAGCGTGATCGTAGTCGGCTGGTAGGATCCAGTCCATGGTTTCTTCCCTGTCCATTTTGCCATCCTTGTTCTTGTCTCTGAACTCCGAAAACTGCTCTCGCTCTGTCGCCACCCACTCCGGCTCGTCCATTTCATCCTCATGGTTGTACATGTCACCTGACAGTCAAGAAATTCACCTTGTGTTACACTACGTTCACAGGCCAATTTATTAGATCCCCCCTGTTCAACTTTGTTAATGTAACTAATCAGTCAGTCACATGCTGTCTACATTACACCTAATGGGACTGCAGAAATCATCTTCATAATGGGACTGCAGAAATCATCTTCATGGGTTAGCTAAAGTATTCAAAACTAGGTATATGGCACTGTTATGTAGGCTAAAGTAAAAAGCAAAACGAGACCACTGAAGCAACCGCTGATGAGAGACAAGAGCTACATGGCCTTGATCACATGGTGAAGAAGCAGTGATGTTTTATCATACTAAAAACATTTCAGGCTTCTGTTATAATGTTACTCTGTGCAGTTTATTAAAACACGCAAAATACTAAAGTATCTATACGAGCCAAATTGGAAATTGACAGTTTATGATATCATTAGCATGGCGACTCAAGACATAGTCCTTGTCACTAGATAAAATTGCCTATTTCTTTGGATTTGAATATTCTTCGAAACATTTGGGTGCATGCATTAGCAAAATATATAACACTATTCTAGTGGTTTTTGGATACTTTAATGTAAAATCCTATATATTGTGCCTTTAAGTTCACAAAGAATGCACTTCAGGAAGAACCAACCTTGCATCATTAAAACCTTGTGATCAAATACTTCCAGTAGGATGATGTACAAATAGGTCACAAATCAATTTTATGACAAACACTGTTTAAATACAATTCCTAAAGTGGTGTTTAACTCACCAATATACTCCTCCAAATCAATAAACCCATCACCATTCTTGTCAATGTCCTCCATTGTTTCCTGAGGATCAAATTGATAAGGGAGATTAGCAAAACATTGGGCTACATGAGAGCCAGAAAGTAAGGCAAGTTTATTTATATAGTACATTTCATACACAGTGGAACATAAAATACAAGAAAATAAAAACAGATGTGATAAAACAGGTTTTAAAGTAATTAAAAAGAAAACAACGGCATTAATAGTGCAATCTGTTAGATGAAATACAGTGCTCATTCAATCGAATTCAGTAAAACTGGCTGCAAATAGCAAGCTAAGTATGACGGACCCACCAGCACAACAATGTCCTTCATATGTTCATACTCCTCAGGATGGAGGAAAGCCGTGAACTCCTCTTTATCAGCGATGTGGTCTCCATTCCCATCAGCCATTTTAAAGCGGCGTTCATCTCTGGCCATCATCTGTTTGTAGTTATAGCCATCATCAGGTTCAGGATCATCTGAGAAGAACACAGACAGTACAAATGCTTCAATTAATATTACAAATCGCTATTAATAGTTTGCCATTTCAATTATTTAGATGGAGAATTTACCCCAGAATAAAAGTAATTATTTATGCACCATTATGGCATTACAAACCTATTCAATTTCCTTTATTCTGTAAAACACACAGGTATCAAATCCAATTCCTGGAGGGTCTAGCTCTGCACTGTTTAGTTCCAACCCTGCCTAAACACACTTACCCGTAGGTTTCAAACAAGCCTGAAAGACTCAATTTGTTTGATTAGGTGTGTTTAATTAGGGTAACGCTAAACTGTGCAGAGCTGCGGCCCTCCAGGAACTGGATTTGACACCTGTATAACATATAAGATGATATTTTGAAGTGTTGATTTTGTGCATATGATGAAAATCAATGGGATCCAAAGCAAATACTTTTACCGTATAGACAAAATACGCAGCATATTTATACTAATTTTAAATTCCTCAAGTGAATCAAAGTCACATAAGTTTGAATAAGGCATTTTTGGGGGGTGAAATATCCTTTTTTAATTTAATTATATGAATTTATTACCAAGGTAGGTGCCATAGGTGACGTTCTTGTATTCTTCCCAGGAGATCATTCTATCGTTGTTCAGATCAAAATCCTTCCATTGTCTCTCCACATTGTCATAAATGTATTTCTTTTGAGCCTTTTTGATCCATGCTTTCAGCTCGGCCTCTGTCACAAAACCATCCTCATCTGCATCAATCTTTTCCACAATTTTACTGAGAAAAAAGTCAAAACAAAGACAAAAATGTACTAAAAGGATGTGTCAAATAACGAATTGTACATTTGTTTTGCAAGAATTAACACTCTAAAATGCTAAATGGCCATTAACATTCAGCACAAACCTTACCCAAGCCTATTTTTGCTTTCTTCCGGAGTCAGATCATCAAATGTTTTGGCTTCTTCTTCTCCAAGGAAGGCATCGTGGTCGTATTCAAAGTTTGTGCCATCGTCATGCTCTTTGCTGCTCAGGGGTGCATCATGGTGGACCCTGTCTTTCTTCTCTGTTGGTTTGCTGGTGGCGTAAACCACGCACAGAGCAAAGCACATCAACAAAGGCCTAATTTCCATCTTCATCTTCCAAGCTCTATGGAAAGCTACAGCAAAAAAAATTGAAAATACACATTCAAACTTCCATTTAAATATAGACCACAGGAATGTCTAGTGTGTTAAATAAACCACTGGGCAAACATGAGTTAACAAGGTCTGTTTGACCCTGAGAATGTAAACACCTTGTATGTTTGAGTTAGAAGTGGAACACATATTACCGTTGAAAATTTTGGCTGGGTAAGATAAGAAACGAATCTCTTCCTCTCACCAAGGTTGCAGACATAGGATTTTTAAAAATATAGAAATAAATTGGGTGATGTGTGAATTATTATGGCATTTAAAATAGGCTGTTGAATATAGTTTTAATGTTGGAGTCTTCTGTATCACATAATCCTTCAGAAATGACTGTAATATGCATATTTGCATTCAAGAAACACTCGTATCATTATTCATGATGAAAACAAATTGCTCATTAAAATATTACTGGAAAACATAAAAAAAAAAAAACTTTTTTTTTTTCTCCCTGAAGATTTTTATTAATAGGAAGAAAATTGTACATTTACACTGCTGCATAGTTGATAAATATAACTTTTTATTTCTTAAACCAAAATCTTACTGACCCCAAGCGTTGTGTGCAATTGTGTAAAAATGTGTAAAAGAGGAAAAAGGAACAATCCTGACAGGCAAAATATCACATGAAACAGGAAACACATGGACAAAAAAAAAATCCATAGATGGAAAAAAAAGGGATACAAGACCAAGACACACACACACACACACACACACACACACACACACACACACACACACACACACACACACAAAATAAAAAAAATAAATAAAATAAAAATTCAGGGAAATAGAGAGAGTTAAGAGGTAATGGGATTCTGATAGGATAATAAAAAACATTGATAATTGCAAATGACAATAGATTAATTATAACACAATAATAATATGATTATGAACATAACCTGTAAACCAATAAATAAAGTCACACAATTAAAAAAATCTTTACAAACTTTTTCTAAAGGATTTAGGTGTGAAGGTCAAAGATGAGATGTCCCATTTCAGTTTCTACACCAGATTAAAGGTACTCAAAGGGTTTTACTGTGGAAAGCAAATTACATGCAAGTAAACTATTTATTTAATGTTTTGAACAACTTCTGTAAAAAATAAAATGTCAAAATATAGGTGATAGGTAATAATCATCCATCATCAGTCTATGTGTAATAGATATATTTCTACAAAATGAAAAACACATTTTTTAGGACTACACTTGTTATAGTAAATATGATTATAATCATTTTATTACATTTTAAGGTAATATAAATTTTCTTGCTAAAAAAAAAAAAGTTTATAGGGTAGAAGAAAAATTATTATTTTAAATGGCAGGTAATTGATAGTGATAAATATCAATAGCATTAAATAAACCAACAAGATATATTTTAAATAAATTATATACATTAATTAATTATTATAATGATCGAGAAAATACCTCTTTTTAGCTCTGACCCAACAACTCTGCTTAATATATTAGGAAACAGATGTGGTTATTTTCACATCTGTAGTCTTTCAAAGACTATAAAAGATTTCTGCTATGGGTTAAGCAAAAAAATAAACAAAAATTAAGGCAGATATAATCTTAGCAACACCTTTCTTACATGAAAAAAGATGCATTGAACGATGAGGACTGCTAGTCTTCAATCATTTTATATTCCATGGATAAAATAAAGAGCATATCCATTTATAATAGCATCCCGGTGGACACATATTGACAGAATATACATTTTGGGGTAAACATTCCTTTAACGACAACTGTCCCTTTAAGTGAGTCGGCTTTACAACGTAACGTTACATGGTCAGGTAATGCAACGGTCACCCATATTCATAGACCAAACATGTAAAATGCCTGCCAAAATCATATAAAACACGTACATACCTTAATTATTTAGGAGGCCGAGAATCCCAGACACAATACAGGGTCTTTGGTTTAATCCTCACACCCCTGTGCCACACCGTTTTTCGGACGAGAAGAGCGCCGCAGCCCAATCAAATCACGACCAGTGGAGTCCGTTCGCAACCATTGGGCCACTTCATCACGACAAACCCCGGATGTAACAGATACCGTTGTTTAATTATGCGGTGACTCAACACACTCTCTTTTGATTGGCTGAGGGAAACGGGGAAACCAATCAGCACTAGATACCACAACATCGGTTGATACGTCGTACCTAGTGGATTTCATCATTGGGTACGTCTTGCCACGTCCCCAAATTTGAGACCCGCAAATCCAAAGGTGCTGGCATCTGCAGCTACACAAACCAAACACAGATTGTCAAATATTATTTTTATTATTTCACAATATAAGTGTGAAACAGGCATCAGTCTCGATTCTGAATGGCTGATGAACTAAATCTGATGCCAGGTTTAGCCAATGATAAGCTGCATGTATAACTAAAATAAACCATAAAGACACGCTTGACTTGTATAGAGAAATTATTAATAATATAATGTATAGTTATCTTTTTTTTTTACATTATTGAGAAATGATAAAAATATTGTACAGTACATTATAGAGAAATGATTAATTATATAATAGTTATCTTTTTTCTTAAGAGTTCTTAAGAGAATTACAATATTCATAATATAACAATTTTTCCTAATATTTTATCTATTAAATAACAACAATAATAATAATAATAATAACAACAACAACAACAACAACAACAACAACAACAACAACAATAATAATAATAATGAAATAAATCTAATTATATTATCCAATAAATATGTTTGCAATATTAAATAACCATCTAAAGTGTTTTCTTGTAAAATACTTTGCTTTAATATATTTCTCCTAATCTGTTGACAAACCAAAGCAAGAAAAATTTCGACCTCACATAAAGTTACAAAAAGATGGATTAATTTCTAATACATATTACAGTATCTTATGATGCTACTATAAACACGCACGGTAAAGGGTCAGGGTCATAACAAAGCTGCTTACAGTCTTGCGCATGCGCGTAACGTGGGACGCCTCACCAAGGTAACAGCAAAGACTGTAACTGAATCTAATCTCACACACCTCCAAGCGTGTAACAAAAACACTTCTTTTGTTCGCCGACCTCTCTGTGCCCTAGTCACTACCGGCGTAGACTGAAAATGCCTGTCCGTTTCAAGGTAAGCTTTGTAAATTACAAATACACTGGAAATAGTTTTTACAGAACAGGACCAGATTGAAGGTGCACGCGCTTGTGCGACGTCATTTGTTTGAGGAGGAACAGTGAGCGCGCGCTGCAGGCTAAAGAAATGCTTTCGGTTTTGAAATTTTTTCCAGTGTTTACATTTAGGGTATGCAATATGTATTAAAACGAGTTACTGTAAGACAAGGCTTTCACTTTGCCGAAAACAAATCGAAACGACTTGATTGTTGAGAAGCACGAAACACGCGAACGGTAATGTTAAATTATTGCAAGGTTTTGTCGGTTTTAACGTTACTTCCTGTTATGTCTTGAAGTTGGTGCGCTGATTAACAGGCATTCACGTTATCCAGTTGTCTGCAAATAGCTAGTTATGTAGCATGCATTATGCATGCCTTTTCTTTTAAATCACAGATATAGAATTTCCTGGACATCTCATGTGAACATGCAGATTGTGTAACGTATCACATGCACATTGTGCTTTACATGTAAACTATAAAGCTGATTTCTATGTTCTACTTCTATATATTCCTAATAGGGAATCAGCGAGTATCGAAGTAAATACAAGGGTCGAACATCAAGATCCAGAAGCGATTCTCCACATCGCAGGATGCGACTGGCAGGACTGCGCTCTGACCAGTCAGGTATGTACTACATAGATAGATAGATAGACAGACAGACAGACAGACAGACAGATAGATAGATAGATAGATAGATAGATAGATAGATAGATAGATAGATAGATAGATAGATAGATAGATAAGTTAACAGATAGACAGACAGATGGATGGATGGATAGATAGATAGATAGATAGATAGATAGATAGATAGATAGATAGATAGATGATAGATAGATAGATAGATAGATAGATAGATAGACAGACAGACAGACAGACAGACAGACAGATAGATAGATAGATAGATAGATAGATAGATGATAGATAGATAGATAGATAGATAGATAGATAGATAGATAGATAAGTTAACAGATAGACAGACAGATGGATGGATGGATAGATAGATAGATAGATAGATAGATAGATAGATAGATAGATAGATAGATAGATGATAGATAGATAGATAGATAGATAGATAGACAGACAGACAGACAGACAGACAGACAGACAGACAGACAGATAGATAGATGATAGATAGATAGATAGATAGATAGATAGATAGATAGATAGATAGATAGATAGATAGATAGATAGATAGATAGATAGATAGATAGATAAGTTAACAGATAGACAGACAGATGGATGGATGGATAGATAGATAGATAGATAGATAGATAGATAGACAGACAGACAGACAGACAGACAGACAGACAGACAGACAGACAGACAGACAGACAGACAGACAGACAGACAGACAGATAGATAGATAGATAGATAGATAGATAGATAGATAGATAGATAGATAGATAGATAGATAGATAAGTTAACAGATAGACAGACAGATGGATGGATGGATGGATAGATAGATAGATAGATAGATAGATAGATAGATAGATAGATAGATAGATAGATAGATAGATAGATAGATAGATAGATAGATAGATAGATAGATAGATAGATACATACAGTGGTGTCAGATGATAGATAGGCTGATAGACAGACGAACGGACGGACGGACGGACGGACAGACAGACAGACAGACAGACAGACATACAGACATATAGATAGATAGATAGATAGATAGATAGATAGATAGATAGATAGATAGATAGATAGATAGATAGATAGATAGATAGATAGATAGATAGATAGATAAAATATTGTTAATATTGAACTAATTGACCTTATTCTGTTATTTACAGGAATTACTCAGGAACCCCAGTTCATATCCAAAAGGAGAGTGCCATTTTATCCATCTCAGGTATCCAGTTCTTTCCGATGGGAAGGACGTGATCATTCTCAACAGCAGCTGGAGAAGAGCAGGTCTCCAGCTGTCTCACCTGTGCTCAGGGCCACTAGTGCAGAAAGACAGGTGACCCCTCTTGCCCCTAGAGACCCACCAGAGGGCACCACTGCCCCATCTCAACCACCACAAGCAGAAGCAGCTCAGACATCCACCTTCGCAGTACAAAAGCAGAAACAAGCACTAAATGGAGTGAGTCAGAGTTGTTTAAGATGTTAAAAAAATAAAAAATTGCAACACATATTAAAGAGGCCCACTTGTAGTTCTTTGCATTTGTAGTTCTGTTAATAAATAGAATCTTGGACCAGAGTATGTGGAAGAGCAAGTTTTTGCATGCGGAGGATTTCACCAACTTTTTTTGACATGTTTTTGATCTTGTACTTTTAAATAATTGTTTATTAATTAGTTTATAACATTACATGTAGTGTATAAATATAATAATTGTTTTATTAATTATCAATACCACTAATAATACCTCCAGTAACATTTATTCACGTGTTTTGACTTTTAGATTAACCATGCACTGCGGATGAAAGCAGGCCTGAGGTCAGAGCATCAGAGAAATGGCTTGAACTCCGAATACCAGAGACAGTTCATGTGGAAAACACCTGTAGCCGAATCGCCCCTGCTTGCTGCACATCAGGTACCTTTTTGCAGTTTATCAGTCAAAATCATCTTTATTTTACATGATTAGTTTTACATTTAATGATTTTGTAGCCAGATTGTCCTAAATATTATTTGCCAGTCGCTTTGCACACCTGATGCGTTTCTGATACTTTGTAAAATATTTAAGTGCAACTGAGTGCTTTTTGTGTAACTTTCTTTTATCTAATTTAAATAGGCAATGTTCTTCCAGTAGATGGCAGTACATTTCTCCATGTCACTTCTATGCATCTTATAAAAATTACAATTTGTTAATCTATTCATTCTAGATTCTTACATCTAGAGGCATACACTAACCGGCCACTTTATTAGATACACTCTACTAGTACCGGGTTGGACCCCCTTTTGCCTTCAAAACTGCCTAATCCTTTGTGGCATAGTTTCAAGGAGGTACTGGAAATATTCCTCAGAGTATTTAGTCTATATTGGCAAGATAGCAGTTGCTGCAGATTTGTCAGCCGCACATCCATGATGCAACTCCCCAAAGATGATTTATTGGATTAAGATGTAGTGACTGTGAGGGCCATTTGAGTACAGTGAACTCATTGTCATGTTCAAGATACCAGCCTGTCTGGCATTAACAACCATGCCACGTTCAAAGTCACTTAAATCACCTTTCTTCCCGATTCTGATGCTTGGTTTGAATTGCAGCAGATCGTCTTGACCATGTCTATATGCCTAAATGCATTGAGTTGCTGCCATGTGATTGGCTGATTAGACATTTGCGCTAAAAAGCAGTTGGACAGGTGTATCTAATAAAGTGGCCGGTGAGTGTATATTCTAACATTAATGGTTATTTTATAATGTTGTTTGTTTGCAAGATTTAATTCTTTAAAATGGTATAGCTTATCTTATTAAACTGATTATTAATATGTTATTACAATTAGATCTTTTTCAAGTAATTATCTGAATACCATAGCCATCAGGTTCATTGCAGCTCCTTGAGTTTTGAATTATTTTACATCTGCTAGATGTTATACAGTAACAACAGAGCCATCCCACCCTTCAAAACAAACCCAGTGATTATGGAGAGCGAGTACAAGAGAAGTTTCAAAGGATCGCCTCTTCCCAGGCCACCACGCTTGAGGCGAGATGTTGAACAGTATGAGGTCCCAGAGTTTCTAACAGAGAGCAAAACCCCAGAGAAGGTACACAGAAATATACCCTCTCAGTTCATTCACATACATCAATCATGAATGCAAACTTTCCAGGTATTACAGCGTCAGTATGGGATCTGGAAAATCTAGTTTCAATAACATATGTTATTTCCTTATAGTTTTTTTTCACGTGCTCTGCAACGTATAGAGAGGAAGTATACATTTACTAAAATGTTTGCACCTTTGACATAGTATTTCTGGCTCTTTTGCCTAAATGCCCATCAAACCAGAGTAAGAGAAAGAAGAAGAAGAAGGAGCGACCACACAGCAGGAAGTCAAGCCCAGAACAAGAAGTTGCCTATCTACAGCAACAGGAAGTGAAATCACCCCACAACCTGAAAGACCCTTCACCAAAGGTTATGAGGTGACTGTTGTGTTTTTACAGGATGTGCAAAAATAACAGAAAATAAACTTTGTAATATATGTATGTAATATAGAGTTGAAGTCAGAATTATTAGCCCTCCTAGTTTATTAGCTCCTCTGTATAATTTTTCCCACATTATTTTTCATCAGAAAGATTTTTTCAACACATTTCTAATCATAATAGTTTTAATAACTGATTACTTTTATCTCTGCCATGATGACAGTACATAATATTTTACTAGCTCATTTTCAAGATACTAGTATTTAGCTTAAAGTTTAAGGGCTTAACTAGGTTAATTAGGCAAGTTAGTGGAATTAGGCAAGTCATTGTATAACGATGTTTTGTTCTGTAGACCATGGGTGTTGCTAGGCCTATTTTAGGGTGGCTGTAGATTAAAAGTGGCAGTTTATTTATTTAATACAAGGGAAAAAAATACACTTGAATGTAGAAAGTGGTTTTTACTACAGTAAACAGGTGGGTTGAGCCTATTTGGTTTACTCAGAACTTAAATGGCTGTGCCTGTCTATGTAATAAAGTGGAATACTAGTATACAACCCTACCATTTTAAACAAACATTTTTAAGTGTATTACTATAAAATTATTACTTATAAATGTAAGATTAGGTTTTATATATATATATATATATATATATATATATATATATATATATATATATATATATATATATATATATATATATATATATATTTATAACATTTATAATAAAAAATTTTACCTTATAGGGAGCTGAGCCCCCCTAAAATGAAAATCCTAAAATCGTCCATGCTGTAGACAATCGAAAAAATATTGCTTGAGGGGGTTAATAATATTAAGACCTTAAAATGGTTTAAAAAATTAAAAACTGATTTTACTCTTGCTGAAATTAAACAAATAAGACTTTCTCCAGAAGAAAAAACATTATTGTAAATAAATACTGTGAAAAAAATCTTTGCTCTGTTAAAGATAATTTAGGAAATATTTAAAAAAGAAAAAAAAATCACGAGGGCTGATAATTTCGATTTCCACTGTATATAGGTTACATGTTTAGATCTTTCAAATTGTATGACTATTTACTAGTTTTCTATTTTTTTCCTGCATGACAGAAAAGGGAAAACTGAGTACAGATCCAACTTTCATTCACCCCTCCAGTACAGCTACAAAGATGGAGCATGGCTGAAGATTAAATCTGCAAAAGAGGAGGTGCGCTTCTGGAAAAAGAAATCTGAGAATAATATATGCATGCCTAACGTATACACAAATACTCTTTTTTCATCTTTAACTAATTTAATCAAAAAATTAAAAATAGGACTAAATAAAAAAAAACATAATTAATTTGAGTAATTAGAATAAATTAATAAAATATAGAATTTAATAGGGGCGGCACAGTGGCTCAGTGGCTAGCACTACTGCCTTACAGCAAGAAGATCGCTGGTTCGAGTTCTGGCTGGGTCAGTAGGCCTTTCTGTGTGGAGTTTGCATGTTCTCCCTTTGTTGGCTTGGGTTTCCTCTGGGTGCTCCAATTTCCCCCACAGCCCAAAGACATGCGCTATACAGTTGCAATCAGAATTATTAGCCCCCCTGTTTATTTTATTCCCCAATTTCTGTTTAACAGAACAGAAAATCTGACAAGATTTTTTAAACATATTTCTAAACATAATAGTTTTAATAACTCATATCTAATGACTGATTTATTTTATCTTTGCCACGATTACAGTAAATAATATTTGACTAGATATTTTTCAAGAAACTTCTATACAGCTAAAAGTGACATTTAAGGGCTTACTTAGGTTAATTAGGTTAACTAGGCAGGTTAGGGTAATTAGGCAAGTTATTGTTTAACGATGGTTTGATCTGTAGACTATCGAAAAAAATATATAGATTAAAAGGGCTAATAATTTTAACCTTAAAATTGTTATTAAAAAGTTAAAAACTGCTTTTATTCTAGCCAAAATAAATCAAATAAGACTTAGTCCAGAAGAAAAAATATTATCAGACATACTGTGAAAATTTCCTTGCTCTGATAAACATCATTTTGGAAATGTTAAAGGGGTTAAATAATTCTGATTGCAGCTGCATGTAATTGAATAAAATAAATGATCCATAGTGTATGAGTGTGTTTCCCAGTACTGGGTTGCAGCTGAATGTACAGTGTAAAACATATGCTGGAGTAGTTTGTGGTTGATTTCGCTGTGGCAACCTCTGAAATAGAGACTAAGCCAAAGGAAAATGAATAAATAGATTTCTATGTATGTTTATGCTAATTGAAATAAGATGACTTAAATATGCTAAAAGATTAATCGGTTATTTGTAGACTTTCAGTTAAATACCTTTAAAATAACATTCACAAATGGTGACTTCCTTTGTGTGGTTTTAAGCCTTTCTGAGTTTATTTCTTCTGTTAGACACAAATTAAGATATTCTGAAGAATGCTGCTTGTTGAGACCGATTGACTTCTGCAGTAGGAAAAAAACCCAGCAACCAGCATTCTTCAAAATACCTTCTTTTGTTTTCCAACAGAAGAAAGAAACTCAAACAGGTTTGGAACAAGTGAAGGGGGAGAAAGTGATGACAGATTTAAAATAATTTGGGTGAACTATCTCTTTAAGTCCCCAAAATTCTGCAAGTGAAATCAAGGCAAGAACCCATATGAATGTCAAATTAGTAGTTTGTTTGAAGTTGCTGAAACAAACTCACTTTAGGTTACTTTAGATGGTATATCAGGGCATGCAAGCTGTAGAATGGAGTGAAAGTGTCAGAGTTGCTAGAGTATGGCAAGATACTCTCTCTAATCACTGGTCTGTATGGTTAATCTTGCAGGGGTGTGATGGTTTTCACGAGTGGTATCATGAGGTAACATTTCACCTGTTACTTGCATCCTCTCACTGCTTCAGATCTCTCAACAGACGCTTTAATTTGCTTATGTGTCTGTTCTGTGCTGCTTCAGAAAATGTATGACATCATTGAAAGTTCGATTGTATGGACCTAGATTTGATCATGAGTGTGTGTGTGTGTGTATGTGTGTGCACGCATGTGGTGTATCAAGATGTTATCTGTCAGCATGTACAGAAACTTTGAAGTTGTCTGTGGTTTTGTTGGTAAATTTTTTTCTGTTTCTTGCACTTTCAGGTGTCTGGTAATCTTGTATTGACTTAAGATTTACTCAGTGATTATATACAAGTATATACAAATTTATAGGTGCAGTTTAGATGCATTTATTCATTTAGGTAATTCATGAATTTATGATTTTTTTAATTAGATTAGAAAAGCCTACAATATTGTTACATTTTAAATAATGAATAATGAAACACAATTAGCTTAAAAGCAAAATTGGCAGGGGATAATTGATTTTTTTTTGTAATAAGACATTAATATGTATTACATTTTAGATTCATAATCTAATCATAATGTCCTAGATAAATTATTGGATAGCTCTAATAGTTTTTCTCATATGGTTCAATATAGCTTTTGTGTGTAGATGTATATGATTTCCATGATGTGATACTGTCTAAATTAAGAGTTTGGTTTAAATGAAAGAAATTGTGACAGACATATACAGTGCTCAGCATATATAAGTACACCCCTCACAAATATATGTTTCAAATGAATATTTTACAATATGCAATATTATATGTGTGCATATACATTAGAGTAGTCAGTACTAAAGCCAAATCTGGAGCTTATCTTACAAAATAACTTACAATAAGGGTTCAAAAACTAGCTCGCCCAAATTTATGTTATAGAAAAATATCAAATACAAATTTAAAAAGAGGAAAAATCAAGAGAAGCAAAAAAAAAAAAAAAAAAAAAAAAGTATTTTGTTGAAATTTTGTGGGTTTTAGGTAATTTTTGCAATATTTACCTTGAATTAAATTTTATTATCTTTCAATTTTTTAATATGTTTGGTGATTAAAATGTTATTTTAATAAATATATCTGTTTAATAAATCTGTTTTGTTCAAATGCACCAAAATACTTCAAATATTCATGTTCAAAATGGGGTGTACTCAATTATGCTGAGCACTGTAAGTCTATATTTGGAGATAATAATTATAATTTTTATTTCAGCAGGAAACTAAATTTGTAGTCGTAAAAAGGTATAAATGGAACTATAATAGTAAAAGTTAATTAACTGATCAGCTTTCTGATCACTAAAATTGAATATAAAACATTACAACTCAAGCAAAAGTTACACTAGAAAAAGTGAAATCAAGAAATTCAACTGGAGAATAAAAAAGGTGAGTGATGGGGAAAAATAAACAAGCAAACAAACAAAAAATAGATTAAAATCCAGAGAAAATGGAATATGGTACGAGGCGCTGCAAGTCTCAGTTTGCTGAATGTTCAATTATTTGATTAGATTTTTCCATGCTTGACAATATATACAGTACTTAATTCTTTATTTTAAAATACATCCTTAAAATTATTCGTCTGTAAAGCCTTCAGTCTAGAGCCTTCAAAGCGTTTTTGTAACATGCTGACAGTGTTAAAACAAAGACATTTTCGTCAGGAAGAAGATCTTGGTTTTAGGTTATGGTGTCAAGTGTGCTTTGTTGCATCTCCAGCAACACTTTTGTGCAAAACTCGCCATACGGGACAGAAGTGTGCTTCTGAGTCAGCTCTTTAGGAGCGGGGCAGGACTGCCTTCAAACTGACATTCTCCACAAGTTTCGGAGCGGATGTGGCAATGTTGCATGATGTGAATTTCTACTGGCTTGATAACCAATTTAGCATGATTAATAAAAATATCATGACTCAACAAAAGATATCCCCACCACATGCAAATGCATTATTTATTTAATTTACTTTACTTTTTACAGAATTAAAAAATGTGTTTTAATCCATTCCAACAGCTGTCCTAAAATTCCAATAGTGGGGCATCTTTATTGTTGAGTCTTGAATATCTAACAGTGGTCTGTGCTTGCTATACATTATCAGACTTTTAACATCAATCAACTTACAGTGCAACCCTAATAACTCCATTAGAATAACTCCAATCTTGCTGTACTTCCACAGGTAAAGGAGCTACGCGAGAGGGCGGAGGCCTACAAGAAAAGGGCTTGGGGAACTCATTTTTCTCGGCAACACTTAAATCAGATTTTATCAGATCAAAACTGGATGTGGGAGCCTTCCAGCGGCACCTCCTCATCCTCCATTGAATCTGAGGCCTGCAGAAGCACAAGCCATATTATTGAGGCTCTGGACCTGGCCAGGTGAGTACAACTAATTCTTTAAAAATCTGTTCGAATATTTGGTTTAATGAGTGACTTGGCTTCTTTAGGGCTGGCAGTGTCAGGGAAAGCTCTAGCCCTGGACATTCTGCTTCTGTGGTGGTCAGCAGGAGGAGCTCTTCTGGGGAAGTGGGTCTTCCCGAAGAACCCACCCTGCCAGTGCAGAGAAAGCTGGCATGGGATGAAGAAGAGCAGCTTGGAGAGAGAGAAGAGATTGTACAGGACAGGCTAACAGATAAGGAAGGGAAAACAAGAAATGAGAACGGGATGGAGAGAAATGAGAGGTATGTGCATGTTCCTCTCAGAATTGAGCAGGTGCTTTTGAGCACTACTACAACCAACATGGAGAGGTTTCAAAATCAGAATAAAGAAAGTGAATTATTTGGATTTCTTCAATTCTAATAAGGCAATGGTGTTTTCTGATTATATACTGTAAAATTGCTGTAAAACTGACAGTATTACTGGCAATTTTGGTAGCCAGTAATACTGTGAAATTTACAAGTGCACTGTAAATTAGCAATTACAATTGTGCTGTAAAACTAGAGCACAGATGTAATTGTTAATTTGCAGTGCACTTGTAAATATTAAATTACTGGCAACTAATATTGCCAGTAACTCCATCAATCATACAGCATATATTAAAGTGTATATATTCAAATTACATAGTGGGATATGTGTACAATTAACACAGTGAAACTTAAATTCAAACAAAATGAATGGGACGTTAATATATTACAATTCAAAATTATATTATATATTAAAAATATTCATATTTATAAATAAAGATTGAAGTTTATAAATGGAAAAATACACATTTTTAAAATGACTAAACATATTATACTGTGTTATTCGTGTGGGGCCTTGATATTTTGATTTGAATGTTTTAAGTCATCAAAAATCCTGTTAATGGTAACTTGCATTGGTCTGACTTATGTTCGAGTTATACAATGCTATTTTTACTAATATAAATAGGAACATTTCAGTCTACTAAACATAATGAACTGAAAATACCAGTTGGTCAATTGCAATTACCCACATTTTTCTGGATTCATCTTTAACCTGTAGTTTAATTCGATTTGCCATTATCGTTTTGATTAAGGCTGTGCGATTTGGAGAAAATAACTGTTTTTTTTTTTTTTTTTGACAGACATTGCGATTTTGATTTGATTTGCGATTAAACTTTTCAGTTAAGCTTTAGCTCAATCACACTCCTTACTTTTTTAGGTGCTAGTTGTTGTATTTCCTCGTGCTGTGGAAACAATTCTGTGACATCTATAACAATTAGCTGTTTTTGTTTTGTGTCTTTTCCCAGAGATGGGTTGCGTCTGGAAGGGCATCTGCTGCATAAAAACTTGCTAGATAAGTTGGGGGTTTGTTCCGCTGTGGCGACCCCGGATTAATAAAGGGACTAAGCCGAAAAGAAAATGAATAAATGAATGAAAGTTTTTTTTGTCTGTGACTTTGAAGCCAAAATATTCCCATATTACTGCAAAGCTCTGTTACATTATTCTGATTGGGCCAAAGTAAAGTGTGCTTACTGGATTACCTAGCAAGATCCCACACAGATGACAGTCACTTATTTGCTCTGGGTTGACGAAATTAAATAATATATAGTCATATCGCACTTGCAATTAGTTAATCGCAATGTTTCAATTGCGATTTGATTTTGATTAATGGATTTCTTTTATGTTAGTGCCTACATATGCATGCATCATTTTCACAAAATCACCTTTTTGTTGATGATAAAGGGATCGGTTTGAAAACTCGCCCTTTGAAACCGAGTTTCATAAGTTTGAGGCCACTGTTGTGTAAATGACTTGCTGAAAACTGTCATATGAACATATCCTAACATGCAATACATGCCTCTTCCATGACAATTTTCCATTCGCATACTTTTTCTAGGTTAAATTCATTGGAAAGTGAGTCATTATCATCGGCAGAGGAGGGGTCTGAAGCTTCCGTTAATGGGGGCAGATTGCCAACCCCTAAACTCAAGACCATGCAGACTGTACAAAGAACACATCACGATCGAACCACTCCATCCATTGGTAACGAGCAATCTAGACACCAACTTTAAACGTTCAGACCACATTGCCCTGAATACTGAGTGATGTTTCAGCTTAACTTGGTTTTACAGACAGCTGCGGTTTTTTAGGCAGATGGTGCTTTCGTCTGTCACCTTAAACCCATACTTTTGGCTTCTCAAAACAGTTTCAGTATGATTTCTCTCGACAGTTTCAGTATGATTTTTTTTCTGGATTGATTGCAAAAATTTCTTTGCAATAAATCAAGATAATACACATAAATGCAGCATTTTTGTTACATTTTAACCAAACATTTCAGACTTTTTTCTAGCATATTGGAAAAAAATAGATATAATTGTGAGATATAAACCCACAGATCTGAGCTAATTGTTTTTTATAATTAATTTATTTTAATATTATTTTATTAGGAGGAGCATTGCTGATCTCTCCTCCAAAGATCAAAAATTTCTCCGGGAAAGTTAGAAGGAGCGAACCACCTTTAGGAAAGCCTCACTCTCCTTACAAACATATCATAGATGGCTCTCCACAGCGAACACACAGAAAGGTACATGACTGACTCTGAGTAAAATTTGCAATATTATGTCATACGTTATATCCTCAGATTTCAATCTCCATTATATTGCGAAGGCTGCGAATGGAAGCTTGCCTCGTTCCTCTCCAGTCGCTGGCCTGACTACTGTAGATGTGCTGCCCATGCGAGAAGATGTCTGGTCTGATGAAGAGGTGACAGATTACAGAAGTTTAAAACCTCCCAAGCCATCACGAAAACAACAGAGCAGTCAGCGTCACAAAGCCAATGCTGCTCCACCTGCCAACAGAATCCAGGGCACAATGAGAAACGCGGAATTTCAGCATAATGGTACGATTCCTTTCAATATCCACTCATGCAGATCTGATTGCGGCCATTGGGAATTTTATTATGCAAGGTTCCCACGGGTGATGGAATTTCTGGAATATCACGGAAATTTCAAAGGTCTATTATAAACATCCAAAGTCGGGGAATTTTATGTTTTGTCCTTGTCGTGGAATAACAGAGATTCTTTTTCCTCAAAAGTGTTCATATTGAACTTGTTAGATATGAAACAAATAGCGTTTAACATTTTCTGTTTTCTTAGACAAAAAAAAAAAAAACGTTGCACACATGTACACATATACATTTGGGTTCAATAAAAATATTTGAATTTTATAAAAAATAAATACTAATTATATGAAGTAAATTATATATATATATATATATATATATATATATATATATATATTGTTTTGTTTTCAACTTCAAAAGAAATTGATATTTGGACTAGAAACAAGAGAAAATTTCAAAGTAAGAAATTCTGTATTCTGTATAAATCCAGTTATTTAATACTATTCTTTAGCTCCTGGTCAACTATAATCCCGACTATCTTGCAATGTGACAAGTGCAGATGCACACATTGCAATATCGATGCTGAAACAATTTATTGTGCAACCCTAATTTATATACAGTATAAGGAAAGAATACATATGGAAAAGTCTTGCTCTTCTAAAATAATTGAAGGGTCCATCTTCTTTATGTGATCTAAAACAGGTTGCCAAGTGAGAAAAAACATATCAGTATAACCTCTTACAGTATATCATATTTTTTCTAAGGTCAAGTGGCGTAAAAGTTTCAAAAGGTTGGAGGAAATTTTTTCTTCCATTGATTTGAGCAATATTAACCTTCTACTATCAGGGATGTTTAAACAACAAAAGTAAGACCAAGGCACTCAAAAAATGTGGGAAAGTATTTTTATTATTATTATTTTTTCAAATATTTTTTCCACATTTTTCAAATGCCTTGGACTTCCTTTTGCTGTTTATTCTGATAAATCCCTTACCCAAAGAGCACCGACACATTGATTAAGCCCTGAGCATTTTTTGTTTGATTTCGGATTTTTATCAGAGATTTATGTTCGTTGTTTTAAAATACTTTCCATTTATTTAGTTTTTTGTTTAAATGACCATGTTTCTTGTGATTTGCTTATTGTATATAAATAAAAAAAAAATACACACAATTATACTATTTACTTTTTGACCTTAAGAACCATTGGACTATATCATTTATATAAATGGAACACTGAGAGAAACAAAGAGAGACAGTAAGCATATAAAGCCTACTATGTCGTATTTGATACATGAATGACTCTTATGCCCCATTCACACGGGGCTTCAGCGTCAACGGTTGACTGAAGGCGTGTCTGAAGTTGGGGCTGAAGCAATCGTCATAGCAGCGTCAGCCAATGAAATTCAGTCAGCAATAGGCCTCTGTCTAGCTGGTGTATTTGCATACAGCGATCTGATTGGCTGACGCTTCCATCGGCGCTTGAAAAGTTGAGCTAGTCCCAACTTCTGCAGCGAGTAACGCCTCTGAAGCGGCGCCGACGGATCCACAATGCAGTTTGGCAATGCCTGACGTCACCCATTCAAAGTGCGAATAGGGCGTTAGTGATCAAAAATAAACAAAAAGTCAAATCTCTTCATTAAAAACAAATTTGTTCAAATTTAAAATTTTCGCGATTGATATATTGAATGTAGCCTTGTTAAAATAGGCCTTGAATGTGCTTTGCAATAATGTTGCATGATGGGTCTAAAGAGAGTCACGCACTTGAGAAGGGCAGCATCATGCTGTGTGTCTATGATGAAAATGAAAACTCTAAAACAAATGTGCACATCAGATGATCAATTCTATGAGCGAATATAATGTTATTGTTATTGTGAAGGAACAGTGTCAATGGCTGGCCAAACTCTGCAGCAATTAAAAAACTGCAAGCTCCTCTAAATTCTGTTCCATTTACTTGATTTTGTGTTAAATTTTGGACGGACTGCTCAAAATAAATCATGGAAGTTCAGTAGTCAGTGAAAGTCAGGGAATTTGACATTTGGCATAGAGCGGGAACCCTGATTTTTGCTAGGCTTACCAGTGAATCCTGTAAAGACAATTATGTATATTGGAAGGGCGTGCTTTATATCACTTTATAGGAGTACATGATCACCGATCAATTCAAGGGAAGAGCTACCACCACACTACAAGCACGCAATTGAAACGTGACTGAGTCATTTACCAGCAGAAGGAGTAGAGGAGGTTAGGTTACCGCCAGCAATTGGGGGAGAACAATCTAGGTCAGTCTCCGGTTGTCTTTTATTTTTTGTCTTTCTTTTTCCGCTAACGTCATTACATTATTTTAGTACCACTCATGCTATCTGGTCAGATTTTCCCATGTCCTCATGGAGTCATTTATTAAGAACGATTATCAAACTTCCATTACGTTTAATACACCTATCGACGGATGTATATGTGACTACATTAAGGCATCTAAAAGAGTTAGAAATTGATTAATTAATTCAAGATTTATTCAGTCCAACTTACAAAAAAAGATTCATAGTTAAACTGTCTGTCATTTAATCACTACAAATATGAAGATGCATTTAAAAGACGTTTCACAGCAGTTTTTGTTTCAAAATAATAATCCCTATTCATCAAAAGTCCTAAAGAATCATTTAATATTCATTAATATTATTTATCTTGAGCACTAGATCAAAATATTGAGACGATTTCTGAAGAGTCACCTGACACTGAAAACTGGAAAATAATGATGATTCAAAAAATCCAGCTTTGCTATCATAATAATAAGTTTCATCATATATTAAATATATATACACATATGTAATAATATTACACATTTGTTCTGTAGCTGACTGAATTTTGATCAAATGAATGCCTCCCTTGTGAGCAAATGAAACTTTTCCAAAAAGATTTACAAAAACATTTGCATCACAAAGATGCAGTATAGAAAGTGGGAATTACGCGATTATGTTTCACTGGGTTTTGTGTTACGCTCATTTATGTAATTCACCTGTGCATGATCATAATATCCTCTATGTATCAATTACATGCAGGTAACCTGGGAATTTTTCGGCCGGAGCTGTTTGTGCTTCCTCAATCTGATTCTGCTTTGTCAGATAATGGTAAAATCACTTTTTAAAAAATATATCTATATATATATTAACAGGTATTAACAATCATAAGCAGTTTCTGACAGCTACTTCAACCTTTATGTGTGTCTAGCAGTTTTGGTAGGAACAGGAATTGGATCAAGGTGTCCTTTGATGTGGTGCACATATCAAAGACAGACAATGCATTTCTAATCACTGGTTTCACTGATTGTGTGTGTGTCTGCAAAGTTTGCGCATATATGTCACACTTTATTACTCATTCAAGAAAACAGTACTATCCTAAAATGAGTAAGAATATTTTATAACATTTTAGAATTGTATTAATTATTATTTTCTAAAACAGAATAACCTGTATGTAGTATGTTTTGCAATTAGATTTATTTAAATGATCTCATATATAAATATTCTTTTTCTTTTTTTTTATATTAAATCCAGATGACAAGATGTCTCAGATCTCCTCCAGATCAGCAGCTTCATGCTCCATGGCGTCTGAGGTTTTGGGTCGCGCTCAGAGACGAAAACAGGAATTTTGGGGAAAAAGCTAATCTGTCAAAGCACACTTCAACTATGCAAAAACTGAAAAATGACGTTCTCAGGATGCAAAATTTTTTAAAGACGTATTTGTTTTTGTGTGGTTTTTGTTTATTTTAATAGAAGAAAATAGATTTGTAATTTATTTTATTTACATAGGTTTTAATATGACCAGTATTGTGCATAGACAACAAATGGTTTTGCAAATTTAAAACACCTTATTCAGTCTTTTTTTGTACTAGCACACTGATGATGTACACTTTTTTTTATATTAATTAGATCTGATTTTAAACAAATGTAAGATTTTCAATTATTTTTTTTAAATACAATACATACACTATTGCTTTACGTTCAGTCTCATCTGTTCACTCTCAGTAGTTGCATAAATTGTTGTGTTTGTTTAAGCCTGATCTCACGAGGAAACGTATTTTACGTTTAGTCAGTTTAGTGGCTAATTTCAGTTCAGAGTTCAGTTGTATGAAAATGTACGATTTTAAAAAGGAGGCATGGCACCTAACCCCAACCATCTTTGGGTGATGAGCAAATTGTACAAAATTTTACAAATTAGATTGTAAAAATTCCTACGAATTAGCCACTAAATCAAAAAGTTACGAATTGCCGTGAGATTGGGTTGGTTCGTTTAGCTTATGCGTGGACAAGGGCGTAAATTTGCTTGTGACATTGCTGGGCACATACACCATCACACGCATTGAACAGCACAGATTATGTTTAGCGCTTTTAAAAACATAAATAAAATACTAAATAATATAAAATAAACACTTAATAAATACAAATAACAATCCTATCCCATGCTACAAAAGTCAAATTACATGATTTTACTGCAGTCTGGCTTTACAGGAGGTATGAATGTAGAGAAATTTAGAGAGGTATGTGACACAATATCCGGATTATTGTTTTTCATAATCATGGAGGCCAAAATCAAACTGAATTTTAATTAATTGTACTTCCTTGGTTAATAGTATTACGGTGATCTCGTAGTGAACTTGACTTGGTGCATGTGTTGGTTAAGAGTTCACAAAGCATTGCTTTATTTTGAATGTAAATTACTTAAATTGCTTAAATTATTGGTTTGGACATTTCAGTAATTGGTTGATATTGGTGGGGACACATTCCCTTCATCAACGCCAATTCTGATTCATGTGCGTGGGCCTGTTTCTGAATGTAAAGCAAATTTTTCATAAAGACCACTTCCCAGCAGACACAGGATGCCAACATGATGCCAGGGTTGACATTGTACCCCAACGTTGTGGGACATTGCATTTTGTTTGAAAATAAAAATTAGGTTGATGTCAGAAACCAACATCAGGGTTATGTCAGTGTCCAACGTCAGGCAGACGTTGCGATTTGGTTACTTTCCAACACAACCTAAAGACAATAAATATCAATGTATAATGATGTTGCAGCTTGGTGTTGTGTGGACGTTACCAATATGAAAGATGTTGAATTTTGGTTGACATACTTGACGAATTAATGCCAGTATTTGATGTTAATATGACATTGGTTAAAGATGTTGGCTCGACGTTGGATTTTGGTTGCCATACCTGATGAAGAAATGCCAGTATTTGACATCAACATGACTTTGGTTTAAGATGTTGGCTCGACATTGAATTTTGGTTGCCATACTTGATGAACAAATGCCAGCATTTGACGTCAATATGACAATGGTTTAAGATGTTGGCTCGACATTGGATTTTGATCACTTTCCAACACAACTTAAAATCAACCAAATATCAACGTCATTTCACATCGTTATTGGACGTCAAAATAACATCGGCCTTCCTTGTTATGAATCTAACTTAATATTAATGTCTTTTGGCATTGTGTGTCTGCAGGGTTTTTTCAGGATTATCAAATCAGTGACACTCATGAACCGGTTCTTGAAATGTATGGTTTCAAAACTCAGGGTTTTACCTGCTTGCATCAGTAGTTATAGAATGAACCATATGGACTCAACAAATCAACATATGACTTTAAGTTTGTTTTAGCCAATTTGCTTTAATTGTGACTATTTAAAAATGAATGAATGTTTTCCCTTTTTTAATGTAATTAAAACTATTTTTGGTTTTGAACAGAGTAATAAATCATAAAACGTATCCATACAACTGCTATGAAGGAAAATCCATAAAAAGTTGCGGATGTTTGAATATGACGTCTGTAAATTACACAACTTTCACAGTTGCATAATTATACACATTATCGGTTACTATTGTCTAGCTTGACGTAATGAACACAATCAGATGCGTTTGTTCTTTATTGCAGTTTTCCTTATTACACTCGTCACTTCCACAAACACTCCGTTTTTTAGCGCCTGTTTGTTTTATGATGCAACGCTCTGATGTCATAAAGCATCTTCTTAATCAGGGAAAAAGTAATTGACAAGTTTCCTGGCAACAACAAAGGAAAAGAACTGCACATAAAGTTATTTCTGGAGCGCACTAATTAATATTATTCGGGGGAATTCACAGGAAGTTTTCCATTCTGTCCACTTGACACTTCACCAACCCTGCGTCCTTATTGCAGCTCATTACTGGACGTTTTATTTCTTGTCACACAATATGCGGTGCGAATTTCCGACGCTATCATAACAGTCAGCGAATATGAAGCATGCATCGAGATCCGCTGACCCATTAAACTCAGGTGCAGAGGATGGGGGATTACGCCAAAGGTGAAAAGACTACCACAGTGACGTACAGGCACGATATAAAAGCTCCAGAGCCACAAGATGCTCTACAAGTTTCGACATCGAGGAACAACGGTGTACATAAGAGGACAGATACCCGAATCCACTCATCTACCTGCGATATGAAGTGCTTTACTCTTATTGCTTTGCTGTGCTCGTGCTTTTTGAGCGGATGCGCGCGCCCCACTCCATTGGATAGCTCAGCCACCTGGAACGACCTCGCTGCGATGACTGATACAGTACGTTTCATTGCTTCATCTCATGTGGCTGTGTGACAATATATCTGCAGTGTTTTATTTGTTAAAGTTGATGAGTAATTATTGAAATGTATGATTATATGTTTAGCCTACATTGAAATTGCAGTGTGTAACATTCAGGCATTCATTTTCACACAGGCACGAAATGAAGACGATCACGAAACACGACTGCTTCCATATTTCTCCCACGATATGCTGCAAGTATGTGTGATGGGAAACCAAAACTAACTATCTATCTATCTATCTATCTATCTATCTATCTATCTATCTATCTATCTATCTATCTATCTATCTATCTATCTATCTATCTATCTATCTATCTATCTATCTATCTATCTAATATTTATTATTTTGCTATTAGTCACTAACATAGATGCTAATTCGAAGTTGTTAGATTTAATAAATTCAATACAATTGTGCATTTTGTTATCAATAACATTATTAATAATGCAATCATAATCATAATCAGCAACTGTCAACAATATCCAAACAATGAAATTACTGTAAAAAGCTATCAGTAACTTAAAAAGTGAGTAAACCCATTGTTACTTGGAACTATTAAGTTGACTTAACTTAACCTTTCATGTAAACATTGAAGTTATTAATTAACATTGATTCATATGGATATTAGTTACCATTAACAATGGAACAGATGCACACACCAATTCAACAATTCAAAAAGTAATAGCAATTTATGATGTTTGTAATGATTTAGTTTACCATCACTATCTAGTTGTGATTGTTAACTGCCCACCAACAAAGGTACTTGTCTAAGAAGGATTAATAAAGTTTGACCACCATTATTATTATAAATATATTATTTTAATAATATTATAAGGATTTATTATATGCATATACTCAATTATGATTAGTAATAACTTAATCATACTTATTATTTTACTTCTACACTGTAAAGATAACTGCCTTCATTTTTTAGTTGAAATAAATTAACTTTTCCAGTTATCTCAACTTATATCAGTCAAACTGACTAAAATATGAAGTTAAACTTTGCATAACTGAGAAAAATGTAGTTTAAACCTGATTAACTTAAAATAGCTCTTATGTCCATAATGTTTGTATTTATGATCAATTTATGTAGCACCGTTGTCCTGCGAGACATGACATTTTGTTTCTCTGTATGTCCACACATGTAGCAGAATGACAATAAAGCTCGACTTGACTTGACTTTAAAATAAGTTAAAGTAACATAAAAACGTGTAGTCATGACTTTTTGTCAAATGATTAGTTTTACAGGGTTTACATCAACTCACTAGCAATTGTTGACACTAATATGTAACAAGTGAAGTCTTTGCATACTAATTTAATAACAATAATCTTTTCAAAGTAAGTGCGTTTCAGTCAAGTAGAGTGGTTGACTGTAGTATTGGTTACCAAGTAACCAACAGTAAACAAGGCAAGCAAAATAGAGACTAGGTGTAATGATCGCTATACGCCAAATGAGTTTCCATCTCCCATTATTCGCATTAACTCTATTTTACACAATTTAAGAGATTTTTATTTAAAATTTGCATTTCCATCACTCATTCCTTATGCGATACTTAAAAATGTGCATTTACACAGGGTTATGGAGTATATTAGGTATATTAGGCATGGGTTGTTATAAGATTGATAGACTATTAATAACTATAGTAATAAACATAATATAGGTAACCTTGGATAAATATTTCACAATATCATGGTATTGTAATTACTGCTCTAAAATATCTTCTTTTTTAATGTCTGGGAAAAACAACTTTTTTTCTACATTGAGCACAATATATTTATTTTAAGAAACATTTCAAATGTTTCGGAACAGTAAACATGTCAGGCTACATAATTAAAATAAATAATTGACCTCTGCTGTTTTCATTAGTTTCAAAAACACATTGCTTTGCAACTTAATATGTGTATATATCTCTTTTCTTTGGATATAAAGTAAGCCACTGTAGTGTTCAGGCCTATAGCATGTGCCTATAGCAACAACCTTGAATGTTGGTGTATAAACCATTCGTTTTTCAAAATCGTGGGCTGACACCAGTATATTTGATGTGCAAGGCCCTTTTCTGCTGGAGATACAATTGCCTTAAAAAGCTAAATAAAATAGACGTAAAAAAACAAAAAAATGAACAAACCGGAGAAATGGCATAACAAGATTTTAGCGGTTTTAAAACCTTGACTTTTACAAACCATGTTAATCTTTAAAACCAGTTATCGCCCCATGCCTACAGTCTATGCTGTCTATGCATCAGTTGTTCAGAAAAATGCATAGTAATTACGAGCTAATAACTGAAACTAACAAAATAAAAGTTTGCTGTTAGTCCCAGCTAAAGACTAAAGAACAGATATTTGGAGTTGAGTGTTATCGATTAATGTAATAACTATTCATTTCTGTTTGGATTGCATTGATTTCTTACTTGTATCTATAAAAAGTTAAGCATTTTGATGATAGTCTCATCTCATCATCTGTTACAGGAAGAAGGTTCCTGCTGCATCAATGCCAGAATTCTGAAATATTATGTAAATCACGTCTTGGAATCAGACGAGCACACAGATATGAAATACCCAATGATTCGCAATGTGAGGGAGGGTCTGCACAGAGTCGAGCAAGAATTGCAGAATCACTGTGTAAGTGTTTGGAAACTCTTTGATCAATCCCACACGACGAAAATACTATAGTTATATATATATATATATATATATATATATATATATATATATATATATATATATGATGTTTAGAATTCTACTGTATTATTTGCTTGGTTCATAAACAGTATGGTATTTACTCTGTTACTTTTCTGTTACTTACTAACTATTTTGTTTTTTAACAGAAACACGACTACTCCAGCCATCCGCTTGTGAAGCAATTCAAGAGAAACTATCATGCCAGTGCAATTATGGTAATTCAATTTTATATTTAAATTACTGTGCAAAAGTTTTAGGCCACAGTTATAGTTGTTGTTTTAGTGAGGGTATAATGACATTATATATTACTTCTCGTTCTTTTTATTAAAATACAAACAGAAAATATGGGTTTTAGATTTTTTTTATATCTTTTTTATTGTTTAGGAAATAGATGGAAAAATAAATGAAAAATACTGGAGTTTCTGTCTTGGTTTGATCTGCATTTCTGCCAGAGCTGTAGTCAATATTGCCTGAATTGCTGGGATTGTGAATGCGTAAAAGTACAGACAGGTTATAATTCATTGTTTAATTCCTACTAGAAAGCACCTAATTTGTAATAATTTTATTTTTTAGAATGAAAATGATCCCAAACACACTGCTAATGTAAGGAAATCATGTTTTTGAGAGAAAAGACTGTCCAGAGAGTGCAGACTTGAATATTATGTGCAGTATGTATAGACAACATTATGGGCAGTATGAGATTCACCTGGAGAGAAAAAGAAAGACAGAACTTGGTAAATCTAAGGAAGAACTCTTGGAAATGCTGAAAGATGCTTGATATTAAATATAGTAGCACATCATTTCAGAAAAGACTTAACAAAAAAAAAAATCAAGCTGTTGCTTGGTGCTAAAGAGGTCTCGATAAAAACACAGACTTTTGATGCTAGTCTTTTGATTACCAAAGTAATTTTGTTCTGAATATTGTGTACATATTTCCTCTATTTTCTGTTCGTATATTAGAGTTCACCCAAAGGTAATAACCCTGCACTTGCTCCATATCATTTAGATAGACACTATAGATAGATTTGTCCAAATGTCTTAGGCTCCCAGATCTGGTGGTGACCTAAGACTTTTGCACAGTACTGTATATTGCAATAACTAGTAAGTGTTTCTGTGCAGGCATTTGACCATCTGTTTGTTTTTATTCTTCAGGATTTGGCCGCAGCCCGTAACAAAGCAATCGGGGAGACAAATACTCTCTACCACTACCTCTTTGAATCCTGCACTCCAAAGTGATTCCCTTCAGCAGTATTGCAATATTTTTTTTATATATTCAAAGGATTATTTATTATGCATTTATTTATTTGAAATATTTATTGAATGTTATATTGACTTCTACAACCGGCATGAAAACTGTGCTTTCATGCTATGTGTCGTAAGGTCACACTCATGAGTCGTGGCCATTGTTGTGACTGACTTGGGTTAAATGTTCCTAAGACAGACCACTGTGAAGTAAATGCATCATAAAAGCATTTTTAAATAGTTTTCAGGAAAATGAAGGATCTGATTATTTAATGTTATTGAATCTAATTTATTTTTGCAGTAACTTAATGTGTCAATTCGCAAAATGTGTAGCAGATGTTTGTTTGTTTTATTTAAATAAAGTGCAATTTCATATTTCTCACAAGATTGATTCTGCTTTTTTTACTACCATAACGTTTTCATTTGAACAACTCAATCCCATACTGTGAAGCTTAACTGTTATAGACTTATTGGGTGTTGGAACACCCTCTAGTGAGCAAGACTAGTTAGCAATGTCATCAATATTGTCTGTTTGATTTGAACACACAATAAACATGTATTGTTTTAGCATCTGTGTGTAGATTACATATACAGGATTCCCACACTTCTTGAAAGTGCTTGAATTTTAGACACACTTTTTAGCCGAAGTCCCTTTATTCAACAAGGGTCACCACAGCGGAATGAACTGCCAACTTATCCAGCATATGTTTTACTTAGCGGATGCTCTTTCAGCTGCAATGCTAGTACTGGGAAACACCCATACATTCTTACATTCAAACACATACACTACAGCCAATTTAGTTTATTCAAATCACCTATAGCACATGTCTTTGGACTGTGGGAGAAATCGGAGCACCCGGAGGAAACCAATGCGAACATGGGGAGAACATGCAAACTCCACATAAAAACGCCAACTGACACAACCGAGACTCGAACCCGCAACTGTCTTGCTTTGAGGCAACAGTGCTAACCACTGAGTCACTGTGTCACCCAAAAGACAAGTTCTAAGTTTAAAAATCTTATCTTGTAGCAGAACTATGATGAAAAATTGACATTTTATCAATACTTCAGAAACCACAGTTGAATATTACTAGTATTGAGTATTGTTTAATAATTTTATTAAAGTTCTTTGAACATGACTTTAAAACTGTTTGTGTGTGTGTGTTTTTTTTAAATGACACTTTTAAAACATCATCATTACTGTGGTATTTTAATGTAAATATTAAGTGCAGGTGAAATGTTGAGAACTTTATTGGCGCTACACATGCTGGGCTTACATTATTTTACAAGGTGCTTGATTTTAAATTATTGATGCTTTAAAAAGTCCTTAAATCAGCTGTTTATGAAATAGTGTAAATCCTGTATAAATGCTAAATCTCAACAGCACACACACTTAAAAAAATTATTGGTATATATGTATCATTACCAGAAGAACAAATTATGATTTATGATATTAAATATTACAGTTTCTATAATATTAATGCAATGAATGGAAATGTTTAACATATTTGGGTTAATTTTGACCCTGGATTTATTATTATTATTAATATTATGTTTAGAGATAAAGAATTAAATCAATTACATAAATATTTACATAATTTGGATATTTTATGGAGCACATTTTTACACAATTATTGTGAAATTATATTATTATTAAATACATTGGTCAAATATGTTTAGCCTTTTCTCTAAATCTCTCACTCTTGGACTGCATTTGCTGATAAACATAAATGTATATGCTAACTATTGTAGCATGATATACAATTATGGACTTTTTGGATTTCTATATGGAACTTCCATTATGGAACAGTTTCTTTTTGTAAATATGAGCAAAAGGTGATAAGGTAAAGCAAATAATTATATATTCTTTTCAGATTTAATTATTAAAAAGCATAAAAATATAAACTTTCATTGAAATAAACAGTTAAAAGATTAGGAAAATTGCATTTTGAAATAAATGTTTTTTTTTTCTTCCAAAAACGATATATAAAATAATTCAGTTGAAGTCATAATTATTTGCAATTATGTATGCATTTACACTTCTAGAAAATCTTGATTAATATATCCAAAGTACAACCCCATTCATATTTACATTTTTAACTCAGTACAGGAACATGAAACTGTCCAGCCATGACTTCTTGTTTTACATGAATGTAAATATGGAAGTGCAACAGCCAAATTATGTTAAAACAACATCATCACTGAACATTTCCATTTCCACCACCATTCAGAAGTTCCAATTTATAACACACAAAAAAATATTTGCATAGATTATGATCATTTTTGTGACATTTTATTTTTTCCTATGATGACTGATATGTGCAGGAGCCAACAAAGTTGACCTTGACCACATAAAAACCTAAAAGGTACACTTTCAAATCTGAGTTTACAAAAAAAGCGCCTCTTTTTTGGGTGGGGGTTATAACACAGAAAACATATACAATTATTTGCATAGATTATGATCATTTTTGTGACTTTTTTTTTCCTATGATGACTGATATGTGCAGGAGCCAACAAATTGACCTTGACCACATAGAACCTAAAAGGTACACTTTCAAAACTGAGTTCACAATAAAAACTGTTATAACACAGAAAGCATATACAATTATTTTAATGACTTTCAACAGTGTTTTATGAAAATTCAAACTAAACCTTACACCTCTGCTTGTGGATTTAAGAAGCTTTTTCATTTGGATAAGCAAGATGCGGGATGAAAACCCCAAAATAGTACTTGACTTTAAGAGGTAATATGAAATAACATGCCAATTTTAAGATCCGTAACATCAATCCTGTCTTATGCCAATTTGTTACTTTTAGATTTAGTGGCTAATACATATGAACTTGTACGATCTCACTAATTTTAGAACGATTTGCTCATCCTCCAATGAGGGTTGGGGTTTGATGCCATGCCTCCGTTTAAAAATCTTACATTTTTATATAACTGAACATGTATTAGCCATTAAACTGACAAAACTTAAAATAGTTAAATAAATAGAGTAAGTTTTGGTTTAAAATGCAACACTATCAGCAAAAAAGTTTACAAATTTTTCTTTTTGAATTATATTTTTAGATGATATTATATGCGTAAATGTACTTATTGTAATTTCTTTTTAAAATTCTACTTTTTGTATTAATGTTACATGTTAGGCAACTGGGGTCTGAGAGTAACGCAATTCGCATACGTTCTGCACATGTGGTTGAATTGACAATAAAGCTGACTTTGACTTTGAAGTGAAAAAACTATAAACTATAAATAGGTCATAAATGGGACAGAACTCTTAAAACAACAACTTTGCGCCCCTAAAATGTGCATAACTTGGAGTAATAATATGTGCCCTTATAATTTTAACAGGTATTGTAGCTGCTTTTTTGACCATTGTGCATGAGTTATTATTAAAACCAGAAAATCTGAACTGAAAAAGAGAGAATTTATCCAAAAGAATTAGGCAAATTAGTCAATGTTTTTCTTTTTCTTTAGTGTTGAATTTGATTCAAAAATGTCTATTAATGCTTCTGCAATATTTGCATTTAATCCCTGAAATTTGAGCAGCAGTTTATCAGCACAAACCTATAGCGGTGAAAAAGTAGCATTTAGTTCATCCCTGAATAATCACTTGACTAAAAAGTTCTTTGTATGTGCACATTCTTTACATTAGAAATGCATCCCCCCAAAAATATTCCCACGTCACTGTTCAACCCTCAGTTATGCGGTTTGAAATTCCCAGGAAGTGAACAACATAAATACAAAGCTTTACCATGAAAAAAACAAAGGTAAACACAGAGGGAAAAAAATGGAGGATTAGAATGAATGAAGAATGAATGGCTTGGGAATGTACACTTTCGTATTTCCTCATGCCAGCTGTGTAACTGTTTAACAGCCACACGCAAACAGACAAAAGTGAAAGTAACCAAAAATAGCACGTATTATAAATACACTGTGGGTATTTTTGACTTCACCTCTGTTATCAGATCTTGTGGGAAGCTTCGTTCATATTGAATCATGACTCAGTTGAGTTGAGTCGTCTTAGATTTGCTCTGATCAAACCAGAAGTCTTTCAGCGAACGCACGCTTTAAATGAACTTCCTTTTACACCTTCTCTGACTCAAATGTTTAAGTTTGACTATTTTAATACCATGGCAGCTTTTGAGAATCCTTTTCTGGGTCAGGTGAAGATCTTTGCTGTATGTGCTGACCTGATTTGAGAAGGTGGTTAAGTCTTTTAGAAGAAGGGGTAATACTTTGGTAATACGTAAATGTCAGTAATCATGTGTGTTGTTACTAAGCTCTGCTCTATTTGCACTCTGTACAACCTACAATTTTTACTTTAACCAGAGCAATTTGTTCCTGAAATAACACACAACATTTTAGTAGTTTTGCTGGTTTAAGTAAACAACTCAGCAACATTAAAGGACCTTGTAAAATCAGGTCATTTAGATTTTATCTTTTTTTTTGTAGTACATATGATATATATATATATATATATATATATATATATATATATATATATATATATATATATATATATATATATATAAACAGGGAACTCATATAATATGCAGCATAATAGAAAGATAATACAGTTCAATTCAACTTTTTGGCAAAAAAAATACACAATATTTCAACAAAAATGTACATATTTTTATGTTTATGTTGAACGTTTCCACTTTATTTTTCTCTCATAACATGTTAATTTAGGTGTGCTATGCTTTAGTATCATGCTCTTAAGTTATTTTGGTAAATTTGCTGTTGTTGCGGCATTGGTGCTGACTAATCTAATGTATATACACAAGCATAGGTGTACAGTATATTAACCTATAGAAAATACTAATTTAAAACAGAGATCTGTGAGGGGTGTACTCATATGCTGGGCATATAAAATTCAACATATACTTAATGTAACATAAACTCATGTCAGTCATTATTTTAAATTATTTAGATTTTCATTTTTAATTAATTTTGATTCAACTATTGAATTATGGCACACAAATAAGTTTTCACTGGTTAACATTAGAATATGAACTAACAACATCTAAAATGTCATCTTTAGTTCATGTTAGTATTTAACACTTAATAATAAACGATTTAAAATTGACATTTTAATTAGTAATTTACAAAATCACTACAAAGTTTAATTATTAATAACATTATGATTAGTAGTGCAACAAACAACAGTGTAATGTTATAACACAATTGTATTAACAGTAAAGGGTAACACTTTGATATTGTTGATATTCTCCTTTAACAGATATTTAATAAGAAACCTTGCAAGTACATGTCAACTTACACTAACCCTAACCCCAACCTAACAGTCTACTTATAATCTAATGAGAGTCAGTTGGCATGTACAGTAGACGCAATGTAACTTAAATTCAACAAACGGACCAACAAAATAAAGTGACCCAGTAAATGATCCATAATAAGGTGAAAATCCTCAACCAATCCCTAATTTTCACCATAAATCTGTTATTTATTAATATCCCTTCAATGTACAATTACACTGTAGCAAGGATGGAGTCAGAAAAAGTAACAAAACAGTAATAATGGTGTAAATACAGTACATTCAAATTCTACAAAGCTTTGCGTCATTCAGTACAGTTGAAAATATTCTCACAGCATTTTTTTTCCAATAGCGAAACATCAAAGGAAACACTGTAGGTTGGACTGCATCACGACAAGTTTTTTTTTCGCTCGTGCAACCTATTTCACGGCGTCCAGTTACCGATAGTAAGTCCTTCCTCTCGATGAGCTCAAAAACCCACAAAAACCAGCAGGTAAACCACAGGGAAAAACAAGGGCAAAGCCATGAATGCAGCCTTCAGCAAGAAACTCCACCATGGCTGGAATTTTTTTTTTCTGACAAAGGATGGAGCTATAAAAGCTATGAATGTGGCTGCTAGTTTAAAGCACAGTGAGCTACTGTACAGACTGTACCATACCATACTGATTCAGGATGAGGATTCTAATACCGTTTACCCTTTGTGCTCTTCTATGCTGGTCTGAGGGCCACAAGCAGGAGGAATGTTTGAAGCGGGAAATCCGGCTGCCTATGATCAGGGAAATGCTCAGTATGTCCCAGGACATCCATAAATCCCTGCCGGTAAGTATCTCTTTACATTTGTGGATTACAGGTATAATATGTGCAATTATGTAGTTGACAATAGCCAATGGTCTTTTGTTGCAGAGAGACAATAAACCCTTCCATCGGATATTGGGGAAACTTAAAAAGTGCAAGGTAAGATAATAGCTTCATTTTATATGTTTTACACCTAAACTTATAAAGAGTTTTTATTACATTTTAGAGTTCATATTTCATTTTTTATTTTATCGAGACATACAGTATAGATTACAATATTAATTACTTTAATTATTGATATATGTATATAATTGTTCTAAAATGGATGCGCTTCAAATGTTGACTGACTAATGTGCGTATAATATATAATTGTGCCATTTCTTTGTAATTTTTTTATAAACAAAATGATATTTTCCAAGAATATGGCACAATTTCTTATTTTTTGGGGCAGATTGTTATAGTGAGTACCTGATGTCAACATGTATACTGTTAAAGATGAAACATTGGATTAACAAAACAAGTATTTAATTACTTTGTTTAATACCCCAATCAATTAAATGTAAATGCAATGTAAATCTAACTTGCCACAACCTCACTTTTGACTTGTTTTCTAAATAAATAAATAAATAGATGAATAATTAAATAAATAGATGAATAAATGAATAAATAAGTAAATAAATAAATAGATGAATAAATAAATAAATAAATAGAAGAATAAATAAATAAATAAATGAATAAATAAATAGATGAATAAATTAATAAATTAATAAATAGATAAATAAATAAATGAATAAATAAATAGATGAATAATTAAATACACAAATAAATAAATTAATAAATAGATGAATAAATTAATAAATAGATGAATAAATAAATACATAGATCAATAAATTAATAGATGAATAAATAAATACTATTGATTAACTTATTGATTTATTAATGAATAAATTAATAAACAGATGAATAAACAAATAAATAAATGGAAACCATTTGAAAATTCTCATTTTCAGCAGGTTTATGTTTATATGAGCAAAACATCATTTTAGTTTTATTAAATGCCTAAAAAAGTTTATACCTAAAATACCAAAAAAGTCCTACGTCAGACATGTTTCTAGTCATTTTTAGACGACACAATGTTAACTTCTGAAAAGTTCAATAATCTTTTGCAGAGTAACTTGCTCCAGTCTCCCTATGTTCATTTGTCATTCCAAGTAACAGTCTACTGAACTAACCAATCTGCACACCTCCTTAAAGGAACTGAATGTCCCAGACTTCAAGCGTGTCCTGGAAATCTATGATGAACATGTGTTTGAAAAGATGTGGGATGAACTGCCAACTCAGTTCATTGACTACTTCAAAAGGCTGAAGGGCATAATGCAGAACTGTGTAAGACCTCATGAACATCTCGACACTTAAGAAGTCTACCTGTTGAGTATTTTATTGACTTATTTTCTTTGACACAGGCGACTGAAGGCAAACCAACCCAGTCCCGCTGCGCAAAAGAGAAGCTTAAAAAATTTGAGCAGACGTTGATGAAGGTACGAGACATTTATTTAGATGAACACTCAGCTTTATGTTGTATGTTCGTGTGTGTGTGTGTGTGTGTGTGTGTGTGTGTGTGTGTGTGTGTTTTGGTTAAAAATGAACGACTAATGGTCAATTTTCTTTGAAACCAAATACCAATAAATCAGTAGCAATAACTGTAGTTGGGTAGATAACTGTGCCACTGTGATTAGTGCTGGGCCGCTAAACGATATCACTGTATATAAAATGGCCGTAAAATTTAGATCAATAACAAGAATAAACTCTGGACTTTTTACCTTTATATTAATCTAAGAGCCAATCCCACCGCATAAATGTGCAACAATGAGGAATCTAGAAGTGCGCTGATATTACTCAAGATTTTTGGCCGCCAAAAATAGGTTATGCTATTTAGTGGACCCTCTAATTTTGTGGCGTCGGTCATTGTTGGGTTACTCTTTTAAATATGGAAGCATTGACACATGATATTGAAATATATTTCGTTATTGTTCAATAAGAAAAAAAGTCATCAAATTTTTGCCATATCGTCCAGCCCAAACTGGCTTTTTTTTCATTATTTACCTTAAATTTCTATTCAAAACATCTGTCAAGTAAATTAACGTTTGTTCGATCAAACAATCGCACACAGATATCAGCCAATGACAGGCATCGCAATAACATTCAAACAATGAATATTGTGAGAGATCAGTTGTGATCGCTTTCAATCTATATAATATTTTTTTAAACACTTTAAAAATGCTTCACACATTTATTGGCTATATCACAAACAAAATATGATGCACACCTCTCCTGTGATGATTTAAATCATGTATTAAAATCATTTTAATTAAAAAAAGTCCTGACATTATAATCAATATAGAAAAAAGTCATGAAGATGTTTTTTTTGTTCTCATAAATACACTTTAAGTAAAATTAAGTGTTAATTAATCTATTCAAAAAATATTTAAGTAATCAACCTTGTATCTTTGTGAGTTTTCCATCTTAAAGGACTCAATTATGAAAATTATGCTTACTATAAATGTACCACAATCATGTTCCACTGCTTGCTTCAACCCTAAAAACCTTCAATACCTCTTTTGCAAAATATTCACCCTTAAAACCTCTCCTGCACAACATGGTTTAGTCTCATGTAAAAGTACTTGAATAGCCTGTCTTATGTGTATAGTTTAAGTATTTTATAGTATATGCTAATTATGCATAGTTTTTTAATAGCTCTTATTTCCAGTGTGTGTTTGTATTTATGATTAATTTATGTAGCACCGTTGTCCTGAGACATTACAGTTCGTTCCTCTGTATGTTGTCCACACAGGTAGTGGAATGACAATAAAGCTCGACTTGACTTGATCTTGAATAGATAATTGTGACAAGTATTTGTATTTTGTACTGTAACCCCTGTAGACTACAATTAAGATCAATAAACCTACTAAAATATCAGATAATGATACCTTTTTTATGACATAACATGGCTAGTTAGGGTTCTTAAATGTCTCTCACTGTGTGTTTTATGATTCACCATACATACCGTGTTTAATGATTCAAGCATTAGGACACATGCACTCTTAAAAAAACGTTCGGTTGTCGTAACCCAAGTTTAGGTTAAATATGAACAAAGCCAACCATTTGGTTAAAAAGTGTAATTTACTGTAAATTTTACTTACCCAATGCTGAGTTTGTCCATATCTGACCTAACGTCAAGCATTTTTCTAGACTGTGTCCATGCATTATGATTTATGACTAACTCTCTCTTTTTGTCCTCATGCAGCTTCAGCCAGATGGTAAAACCAAAGCTCTGAGTGAGTTTCACAGTGTTTTGCTGTGGATCAGTTCAGGCATGGACAGAAGAAAAACATACAAGAAGATTCACTAGTTCTTCTTAAGAGTTCTTTCGAGGAACGCAGGATGCAGTCGTGGGGAAAACACATTTCTACCCACCCTCATTTTCAGGAACCAGGTTCAGTTAACGCAACTACCATTGCCAAATGCACATGCACGTGCAGGGTCTTGAGTCATACAAAAACAAACACTATAACTTCCTCCATCAATTATCAACAGACCGATCAACAGATTTCCTAGGCTGCGACACAAGTCATCAAGTCAAATCCTGTGAATGGCCTCACAAAAAGCCTGATGTAGTCGAATCCAACTTATCTCAGGGAAGTTGTGACAATATTTCATGTAGCAAAGAGCTTACGTGCTTTTTGTTCTTGAGAAACTTTTGCACTGACATTTCAGATTTAATGAAGAACAATCCGGTTTTTACTATGAAATGCTTTTTAGGTTTTAACTGAAGGCATGTTTATTTATTATTTTTAGTTCATTTTCAAATCCGTAATTTATTCTTGATTACTTGGTTGCATTTTTATTATTATTATTATTAGTCATTCATTTGAGAAAATGTATTATTCTAATCTATAAATGTCATATTTATGTATGCCTTATCATTGTATACTGCCAGTGTCACCATTTAAATGTTTTTTCTGCATTATGTGATGTATTCTTGAAAGTGAACCTTCAAAATAAATATAAGTTTAAATCGGATTTGAGCTTTCCATTTTGGTTGTGCCTGTTTCCATTATCACACAGCATTTCTGTAATTGATAAAACACTGATCTAGATGGTGTTGTCTCTTATTACAGTTCAAGAGGTAAATGTAACATTATTTGGAAGACACAGCATCAAAACTCATTTTAAGCACACTCTGCATGTAAAAATTCATGTCTACTGACACTTATTATTTGCTTACTCTCACAGAACAGTAAAATATCTGAAAAATGTGGGGTAACAGCATTCGTTGGCCTGCGATCACAAAGTATGCACACTTTGACACTATATTTGTATGAATGTATGTGTATTTATGCACTTAAATACATGTTCGTGTTCAGCTATAAAGTGTCAAATTCTGCATACTTGGAGATCACAAGGCAGCAAGTGCTGTTATATGCATAGGTATTTGCACTTTTACAATAAAATTTGTGCTAGATTGAAACTAAAATAGTGTTAAAATGATGGTATGATTCATTATTTCTGATTTAATTACAGCTCTTGCTATATATATATATATATATATATATATATATATATATATATATATATATATATATATATATATATATATATTTGAAATATTGATGACTGATTCCCTTACATCCTCAAAAACCATAGACCTTTCCCTTCAAATTGATTGGATTTTTTGTGCAACACTGTCTTCATATTTCTGTGATCTTTGCAAATGATTTAGTTTTTTTTTTTTTTTACTTTGCTTTATCCATAACTTTCACATTTCCACTGCTATTTAAAAAATCCTTCTTCCGCCTTATAATATCTTCGTCTTTCTCTTACTCAGTTAAAACACAATGGCTATATGTTGTAAATCTCGTTTTTGTGTATGTATAGATTGAATGTACAAATCTATTGTATTATGTAAAGCGAGCTTGAGCTACAGGAAAGTGACATGCAATTAAAAAAACAATATTATATTATATTATATTATATTATATTACATTATATTATATTATATTATATTATATTACATTATATTATATTATATTATATTATATTATATTATATTATATTATATTATATTATATTATATTATATTATATTATATTATATTATTAACAGATCTAATGTCACACTCCAGCACCAGTGTAAATGGCTGTATTTCTTGTCATTGGCTGTGTCTGAAAGCTAAACATGCTGCCTTCGGAGAATAGAATACATTCCAAGTAGGCATTAGCATCTGAATAAAAGAATAGCTTTACTTCCAGTCCAATGAGAACTCCATCATTGGATTGAATTTTTATGTATTCTTTATATCTCACAAATCAATATGGGGTTCTCTTTGGACTGAACCAATTGAATCAAAAACACTGGTGTGGTTCAACTGACATACAAATTCAACACAGAAAAAGACATCTAAATCAAACTAAAACAAGACACTTTTTTTATTATTATTATACACTCTCAGAAATAATGATAGAAAATCTGTCATTGGGGTGGTACCTTTTCAAATGGTACAGTACATTTTTATTCCTAACAGGTCACTAAAGGTATATATTAACGACCAATAAAGTACAAATCTGTACCTCATAGTACTTTAATGGTACAAAAGTGAATCTTAAGTTACAAAAGTGTGCCCTAAAGCAGAGGCGGACTGGCCATAGGGAGCACCAGGACATCTGGCCTGCCACCACAATGCTGGCACCTCGCTCTCCACACATCCTCTTCACTTTGGCCTGACCTTTAATAACTTTTCCAATTTAAAAATGCTGTCCTAGTCTGCTCCTGCCCTAAAGGAGTGTTTACCTGTATGTGGTACAAAAGTGTACCTACCATCCCAGTGCCAGATTTTGCACCTTTATTTCTTTGTAGGAACTGCATTTTCTGTTATATTTTCATGCGTCTCACATAGACTACAATAAGCAAATTCAGCACAGCACACAGATTTGTTTTGGATGTTTGGTAACTTCTATACCAAAATATATGTCATGAAAGCCATTCTTCTTTAGTTTTAGATTTCATGTTTGGTTTTAAAGATGCTTTCAAACCTAACTTGTTGTTTTGGAACCTGGCTCAGATCTGCAACAAAACAATTACAGTAATTCACGATTGCTTCAATAGAATAAGTTATCTTGGTTGACTTTGATGCTCTTCACTTTGCAATAGTGAAACCAGTACGACCCAATAAACCAGGATTTATCCCACTCTATGATGAGCATTTGTTTTTCTAAGCCTTTCAGGATGGTTTAATCTGGAGATATGCATGCAGACGGTATGCAACATCTAACTAATATGCAGTCTGAAAGACATATTTCTGAAAATATTCAACATAAAAATAATGCTGGACAGCTACCGAATGAGTCACAACAAGCATACAAAACTGCTAATATCCGCTCAATTTGATGGATGACTCATATAAACAGGCTTTTCCTGACCAATAAGAGTTTACCTGCACATGCCATATTTTAGACTGTTTAAAAATATTTTCTTGTGAAAGTTAATTAAACCATGATGAAAAATCAGCATAGTACATTTTTAGGTTTTAAAATAAATTAATGTTATTGACAATTTTAACTTAAATTATTTATTGTACTGACTTAAAACAGCTTTTAACTTAAAAACAAAAATATATTGGAAGCATAAGTTTAATAAGATTTATTTAACATGCTGTTACGATGTATTGATTGTATGTTATATATATATATATATATATATATATATATATATATATATATATATATATATATATATATATATATATATATATATATATATATAATGCAGGTGGGAAAGTGCAATAAAATGACTGTGATTGCTAACCAAATCAGGACAACGGATGTGTTCACACCTATCAGGTTTATTTCTTATAAAACAAACTGTCGTGCAATTGGTCTTTTGCAGTTTTTTTTTGCATAAGAGTAAAAGTTTCCAACCGAACCTTGTTGTGGATCAATACCACTGAGAGATCTGATGTTGGATTCCAAATAAACCCTGGTGTGGTTAGACTCAAATAAGAACACAACACAGATCAAAGACATTAAAAGAAGCAAAACTAGGACATGATGTCACAATATGTGATCAAAAATGTTTAGAATGTTCAAAGATACATGTTTTTTTTGTCATTGTTGCAGTTTTGCCAATTATAGTCAAAAATACCTGTCAACATCAGTGGTGCGGTTGGGCTTGAGAGGTGTTGACACTTGGTTGTTGGTTTGAACTGGTTTCTTGTAATAGAACCAGCTTAAACCAGCTTGTGACCAGTAAGAAGTGTTTAAACCAGCTATTCACTAAAGCAATGACCAGCTTAATCCAGCTCATGACCATCAAGAACCAGCTTAAACCAGATGACTATCAAGAACCAGCTTAAACAAGCTCCTGTCCAGCAAACGTGCTTAAACCAGCTCATGACCAGCTTAAACCAGCTAATGACCATCAAGAACCAGCTTAAACCAGTTATTGATCAGCTAGAATCAGCATAAACCAGATAATGACCATTAAGGACCAGCCTAAACAAGCTCATGACCAGCAAAACATGTTTAAACCTACTCAAGACCAGCAAGAACCAGCTTAAACCGGCTATTGGCCATCAATAACCAGCTTAAACCAGTTAATGATTAGCTATAATCAGCTTAAACTAGATAATGACTATCATGCACAAGCCTAAACAAGCTCATGACCAGTTAAACGTGTTTAACAGACTCAAGACCAGCAAGAACGAGCTTAAACAAGATCATGAGCATTGAATACCAGCTTAAAACAGTTAATGATCAACCATAATCAACTTAAACCAGATAATGACCATCAAGGACCAGCTTAAACAAGCACATGACCAGCAAAATGTGTTTAACCAATTAAGACCAGCAAAAACCAGCTTAAAAAGCTAATAACCTTGAAGAACCAACTTAAACCAGTTAATGATCAGCTAGAATAAGCTTAAACCAGATAATGACCATTAAGGACCAGCATAAACAAGCTCATGACCAGCAAAATGTGTTTAAACCAGCTCAAGACGAGTAAGAACGAGCTTAAACCAGATATTGACCATCATGGACCAGCCTAAACAAGCTCATGACCATAAAGAACCTGTTTAAACCAGCTCATGACCATCAATAATCAGCTTAAACCAGTTCATGATCAGGTACAACCAGCTTTAACCAGATAATGACCATCAAGGACCAGCTTAAACAAGCTCATGATCAGCAAAATGTGTGTTAAACCAGCTCAAGAACAGAAAGAACTACCATGAACCAACTCATGACCATCAAGAACCTGCTTAAACCAGCCCATGACCATCTCTAACCAGCTTATGACCATCAAGAACCAGCTTAATCCAGTTCATGATCAGCTAGAACCATCTTATAACCATCA